ATATGATACATATCTTGACTTGTAAGGCAAGTTTTTTATATGGATGCCACATAGTTAGCTTTTCCCACAAGCTATCAATACATATGAAATATGGTTAGCTTATTGATCAAGTTTCTAATCTATTAATCAACTACAAACACATGTAAAGTTAAAACAATATTTAAGAAGCTTTTAGAAAGTTTTTTAGAATGTATTATGAAATTAATCTACTTTTATCTACTTCAACCTATTCATATTACCTAGGTAAAAATTACAATAGATACATATTCATGATAGTTTATTGAGATTTAATTTTAAGATTACTTGTCAACCTAAAAAACAACAAGGTTTATTTGATGTCCTTTTTAGACGTTCTTACCTTATACCAAGGAAAGAAGATGTATTTTATAATCAATAAAGAATAATTCTCTTGAAACCAAGGTATTTTCACCTCTAAGTAATAAAATCAACATTGACTATTGATTCAATCTTTGTCAAGCAAATTCAATCAAGTATGTTGTCTAATCCTTTTATCTATGATATGAAAAATAATTCTTCTAAATTTTATGATACTTCTCAGTTCAAGTTCAAAAATAATCTATTCTATTTTAAAGGACGATTATACATTTCAGAAGGTGAGGCACAATTACATCTTTTTCAAGCTCATCATAACTTTCCAACAGTCAAACATTTTGAATACAACAAGACTTTGGAACTAACATTGAAAGTTTTTTGATGGCCTCAAATATAGAAGGTAGTCAAAGATTGTGTACAATTATGTGATATTTGTTGAAGATCCAAAACTATTTGCTATCAAATTTATAGCTTTCTAAAAGCTTCATATAAATCACATTAATTTTACATGTATTTGTAGTTAATTAATAGACTAAAAACTTGGTCAACAAATTAACCATATATTAGTAGCTTGCAAAATAATCTAACTATGTGGTGTCTATATAGAAAACTTACCTTGCAAATTAAGATATATTTTTTGTAAAGTCAAAATGATTTAGAGGTCTTATAAAACATTGCTACATAACTACTAATTAAGAGTATATATGGAGGCAAGAGTGAAGCCTTCTTCACTCTTATCAATGCCTTTTTAGTTCTTAATCTTATTTTAAGACTTTTTAGTTTTTTTTCTTTGATAATAGCTATTTTAATTTAATACTATATTATCTTCAAGTAATTTTTTAGTCCTTTTGAGTAACCTAAGAGTGTATTGAAGATTTCTTTCTTTAAGATTAATGTCCTTAATAATGACACTTACACAAATCTATTATTAGCCACCATGACCATCTTTATTGTGATACCAAATTTTTTTTCAATCATTGTTTGCTTACCATCAATATTAATTTTAACTAGTTGTGTTGTCTATTTTAGAGCAATGGCATTCAAAAGTTTCACCCTGAAATAAAGATTACTTCAACTATTTTGCAATCAAAAAGCAAAATGGCAAGAAGATAGAGATTGTATAACTTTGATTGATGCTCAAATTAAACTCAAAAAATAAGATAAGAATTACCTTGCTTTGAGCTGTTGTCAAGAGCAAGCAAAAAGGCCTATCGCATGTAGTAGAGCTAAGTGATTTTCTATAAGCTTACAATACAAACATTCTTACAAATAAAGCTGCACAATTATAACTACATTTATTGAAGCAACTCATGTGTGACACAATCTTTGTGAAATTTACAAGACATATTGTCATTTAGAACAAGACTACATATGTGATTAAGTTAATGATAAGATGAAACAATTATGAAAAATTGATCTTTAAATTATATGCTTTGTAATTTAGATCTTGCTTTGCATTAAATTTAATTTAGTCATTGTTTGCATCTTTAAACAACTTAAAAATTAATAATGCCCATTCATAAGTCAACATAGATTCTTTATTATTTATATTAAATAATATATCATTAATAACCACGTCTATAATATTAAAATTTATTGTGAACATAAATACCTTCTTGGTCTCTAAATGAATTGTAAGGGTGTTTTTAAAATTTACTTGATCAAACAACTACTTCTTCGAGATATCTGAGAGGACATTGTATTCTATCTATGCTTTGGCATCTTGATATTTTTATATGTGCCATAATATTGTCTACAAAGAAAAGAATTGAAAATATTTTCACATTTATTGTCTACTTCTGCTTAAGTCCTATGAAATTGACCTCTTCACAGTTGAGCTTTTCACATAATAAGGATCATGTTGTCATATTATAATTATTTATAGTATGTAAAAATTTATTAAAATAGATAATATATTTATAAATATTGATATACTTTAGAATAGTTAATAAGTTAATTTAAAGAGAGTTGATGTAAGAAAATTTATTTTGAAGTTTACTTATATTGATTATAGTATTAAAATTATATAGGATTTAGATATTTAGTATAAAACTTAAAGAAAAGATTGGAGGTCAAAGATAAAGATCCAGACCTCTAAAAAACTTATTTAGAGGGATGAAATCAAGGTATGGATGGATGAAGATAAAAGATAAAAATCTTCATCCATATCGGTGGAAGGCCATGTCCAATAGGTATTCAATAAGCTATCTACCACTATAAGACGGATTTTGAAAACTTTAGAAGGAACATTTGAGAATCAAAAATAAGAGTTGTAAGGTTTAGGATATGAGCTACAATTCGTATACAAATTTTATAGGATTTGGAATTAGGGTGATGAAGTTATAGTTGTTTGAAGTTAAGATATTTTTTTAAGATATATTGTTGTTCTTTTGAAGATACAAGGAATTTTATGATAGATTTTGGAGATTGAGAGGTGCAAATGCAAGAGTGATTTTAAGATCTACATCTATTATGAAATTTTTCTTACATTTAGAATTTGTATGAAGAAGTTATAGAGCGTTGAAGACAACACATGTAACTCAGAGGCAGTAAGTGAGTCATTTTATTGATAGTAATGGTCAGAGCTATATCTTCAGTTTTCAAATAAATTTTTAGCTCAAAATTTTCAAAAATATGTGTTATTAGGTTAAGAAGCTATATATCAAAGTTTTATGATATTTGAGTACTTAATTTGTGAGATATGAAGAAAATTACTCACAAGTATATGTAAGCAAGGATTTGAAGTTATTATTAGAATTTTGGCAATATCTCAAGATCTGTAAGAAATTTGCAATTGAAATTTGTTGTGGTAGTTGTTAAAAATACATCAGTACTTCATGTAAAATTTTGATATGTCTAGATGGTCCAATTGTAAGATATGAGCTGTTGAAATTTGGAAAAAATTCACCTTAAAGATGTATAAGGTTTTATAATATTTTTATCACATTTTTGTTGACCTTTGGTACATAGAACTTATGTATTGATATAATTGCTTCTATAGGGATAACTTTATATATAGACTTGGTATTTTTTTTAATCTAGAGGCTTGGTTAAAGAATTAGTGACAACTAAAAGTCCAATGCTTTTTTAAGACAAATTCTCTACTATGACAATGTTGGTAGAACTTGGTCAATGTTTTCACATCATGGATTTGGCACAAGGCCAAATTTCGTCTCCATAGATGATTTATAAAGGATCTCCAATTCCTTTTCCATGGCAAATTTAATATGCATATCGTGATGTGACTGCTATAATTGTAAATTGATATTCTTTTGCATGGATTACATCATGCAGTGCCTCCTCCAATCATGTGTAAGAATACTGTTGGGGCCTTATTTTAGAGCATGTTGCTAAGCTTATTCTAAGGAAAACAGGGTTTTTATGGAAAAAGCCCTAATTTGAAGAGGCCTGCTCATGGATGATAGTGTCAATAAAGCTGATAATGGACCAACATTTCAGTGTTTTGCAAGGCTTTTCAGGATACATGTGAGCTCTCTCAACTTTTAGATACATCGATGAGTGGGACCATGAGTAATGATGAGGTCCACCTATATGTGCATTAAACTCAACACTTGGTAGATTTTGCTGACGACAAATAAGGCAGATGCTCTTCAATCGCGTTCAACCCCTAGAAGTCATGAATTAAGCCTGTCCGTGGTGTGGTCATGAATAACAGCACGAGTTTGGCTCACCTTCACAGATGACTCAATGGTTGAAGGAAGAATTGTGTGAACCAGTCGTAACTGTTTACTACGGTGGCGATTTCCACGCCACCGAAAAACCTATGTGTTGACACACCCTTGTTCAAGTATGAGGTGTCCATGTGACAAAATATCTGGAAAGAAGCAACCCCTAGCTAGGTTCCGATCAACCAGTGGTGAAAGAGAATCATCTGGCTATTCCCTGGACACTGACGTAATGTGTTTCACATCATCTGACTCGGTCTGTACAGTGCTTTCATCCCGGATTTATGTTCATGGTTGCATATCCATACTCACAAGGCATTGATGTCTGATATTAATTTCTTCGAAAGTATCTTCTCTTTACAAGTTCATTGTAAAGATCCCCTAGACCCCAATACTATCTTAAGAAGACAAGTGCAAGGTTTTAGTGCTTATCAAGCAATCGAGGAGTTCGTTGGTGGGAATGTTGACCACAATTGACCGATCAGAATCGAACGGCCTCGATAACACATGGACAATGTAGTTGTCATGCTCTCCACGCTTCAAGCAGCCTTTGTTGGATGACGCAGCACACAACTTTGCTCATGAATTCCCCTAGCGAAGAAGAAGCGTGTGACTGGGGCTATGTAGCTGACGATGTGCTGAGTCCTACCTCGAAGTCCGCAGGAGTTGCGCGCTTCTGAAAACCACCCAGATTTTGCAACAACGTCGATGATTGAACAAAACACGAATGAACATTTCTCGAAATAGCTTTCCACCTCCCAAACGGTAGACTCCTCCTCGTCTGTAAAAGTTGCTTTCGACCCAACCCGACATCCGTGAGGGTGAATGTAAAAACAAGGGATGGCAGTGAAACAATTGCTCGTAAACAACTGCAGGGCCGTCACCATGTGAAGAAGAGCCCGGGAGCGACGACGACCTGGTGAGTGTGGGCCCATTTCGAACCCGCTTCTTTTGTTCCCTAGTGGCCCTCGTGGCTCTTCACTCTCTCGCTGCGGCGGCTCCTTTGCTTCTGAGCAGTCCCCCTTGCGTCTGTTTCTCTTTCCTCTCTTCCGGTAGACTGCAATCTTCCCCTCTAGCTCATTGTAACTCTCCTCTCTAGTATTCATCTTCGGGAGATCCTGTTCAGCCACCATGACCGGGGGTGATGCTAAGCCAGGCAAGGCCATCCCGCTCTACGGCACCTTCGCTGCTTCCGCATTCAGCGCTTGCTGGGCTGAGGTGCCGACATTTCTTCCTCTAGATTGATCCGGTTTGAATTTCTGAAGCTGGTTTGGGTTGCGTTGATTCGGATGGATCGGATTTGCGCGTGAGGGTGTCTTAGTCGAGCGTACTCTCGTTATTGTGGGTTTTCTGTGGATTAATAACCTTCTGATTTATTTTTATTTTTATTTTTATTTGGGGGGGGGGGGGGTGTGAGGCTGTCATTGCGTTTCGTAGTTTGATTGTAGAAGAGAAATTGAATATTTGCTAGAGGATGGATTTTTCTTCAGATTTTTTTGTTCATACAGAGTTGGGGAGTGTGTGTATTTATTTCATTCGCATTCTCTGATATTCCAAACGATGACCTGAACTTGAAAATGCAACCATAAGTTCGTTTGTGAGCAATGGGTGTATAGCTTCTTTTTTTGTTTTATTTTTATTTATTATTTGTGTTTTCCAGTAGTGTGAGAAATAACAAGGCAGTTGATGACGGCAGACCTGCACCATTCCCCTAGATACGGCCAAGGTGAGATTGCAGCTGCAGGGGAAAGCGTTAGCTGGTGAGGTCAATGTCGCACCCAAGTATAGGGGAATGTTCGGGACCATGGCCACCATAGCAAGGGAAGAAGGGGCTGCCTCCCTCTGGAAGGGTATTGTTCCCGGGCTTCACCGGCAGTGCCTCTTTGGGGGCCTTCGAATTGGTCTCTATGAACCGGTGAACTTTTTCTTCTTTTCATCCATGAGCTTACAATGTGTTCGCTAAATAGTCTATTTGCTACCATCATGCTGATCTTTACGCTCATAGTATTCATCTAAGTCTCATATTGTTCTAGGTTAAGAGGATCGCGACATTTCTTGAATTTGCGGTCTCTAGGCATTTGGAATACATGTTTTAAGCTTGTCCATTGACGGCGATACGGAGAGCAAACGAGGTTTTTTGGTGGCAGGTGTCACGATGTGCCTAGAATTTTTAGCTTTTGGGATATATTTGTCTTCAATGTGCTAATGTGAATGTCGCATGCGAACCTCGGAGAGCAGGTAAAGAACCTGTACTTAGGAAAAGACCACGTAGGAGATGCTCCACTGTTGAAGAAGATTGCTGCTGGTCTTACGACAGGTTGTCATAGTTTTTCTCCTCACGTTATGCCCTTCAGAATTGTCATCTTAAATGGCATATTTTTGCTTTTCTTAAATAAATTCAGTTTCAATAATATTCCTATCTTGCCTCTTTTTCTTTTTGATCTTTTGATCACCTTGTGCTTGTTTCTAGAGAGGAGTTTTGATGCTGTTTTATGCATGGGATGAACTCCAGGTGCGTTGGGCATTTGTGTGGCGAGTCCCACGGATCTAGTGAAAGTGCGACTTCAGTCTGAGGGCAAGCTACCTCCCGGTGTCCCCCGCCGCTACAGCGGCGCTATGAATGCTTATTCGACTATTGTCAAGCAGGTTAAAGCTCCACGGCCAATTACCATAAATATTTCAAGTTTTTTTCGTTACAGTCACGGTGATAAATTGCTCTCGCTTGACGTGGTTGAGCAGGTAACAAGAGACATTTTTGTGCTACGGTATTTAAGTCCACTCTGATTTCATTTTCTGGTATTTCAGGAAGGTTTCACAAAATTGTGGACTGGGCTTGGTCCAAACGTTGCTCGTAACGCTATCATCAATGCTGCCGAACTGGCCAGTTATGACCAAGTCAAGCAGGTGAGACGTCTTTCCTATCCCAGTTATTTTTGATGAAGTGCTTTGTTGGCTGCCCCTCCTTTTCGGAAAGTTTAAGTTGTTTGCATATCCAGGGCATATACCTGCAATTGGCGCTTCCATTTTAGATTGTGATTTCGGATGTTCGAAAAGCACTTTCAGTTTACTAATATGGCATGTTGCGCTTTGCAGACATTGTTAAAACTTCCTGGTTTTACGGACAACGTTGTTACTCACATCCTTTCTGGATTAGGTGCTGGCTTTATCGCTGTCTGTGTGGGCTCTCCTGTTGATGTGGTAAGTGGCTCTCTGCTGTTGTTTGGGCTACACTGAGTGGAATTAGTTTTCGGAATTGTCCAGAAGATGGTACATTTTAGACTCTTGATTTCAGAGAAATTTTACTTGGTTAACAACATGGCGAAAATGCCTGGTCTTTTGGTTTGTGTTTTAAGTGTACTAAAAGGGGCCTCATCCCTTTCATTACTGAAGTCCGATGGTGCATTGTTGTGCAGGTGAAGTCCAGAATGATGGGAGGAGGGCAGGGTGCTTACAAAGGCACAATTGACTGTTTCGTTCAGACTTTTAAGAATGATGTCCGTGGCTCTGTATCTCTACCTCTCTTTTTAGAACTTGGTTGCATGTCCTCTTATCGCGACTAATGTCGCGATCCTTATTGAGCAGCTTCAAACGTGCCCTCTAGTTTTATGTTTATATATAGATAGATAGATAGATAGATAAGAATTACACGGTGTAAATTTGGTTCGCAGGGTGCTGGAGCTTTTTACAAGGGATTTTTGCCCAATTTCGGTCGACTTGGTTCTTGGAACGTCATTATGTTTTTGACCTTGGAACAGGTTAGTTACTTTGTGGCATTTGAATCTTTCCTGTCGGGGTCTTAAAAACGTTACTGATAGTATAATTTGATCATTTTTCTTTGTGATCAGTAGATTAACTAAGTGTTTGGATGTGTTGCAGACCAAGAAGGCTTTCTTCCCTAAGGACGAGTAGAACTGAGTTTCTGTTGTGAAACTGTACTGAGTTTCTTTGATCAAGTAGGCTTAGATGTAGCATTGTTGTGGTGGTATTTTTATCAAACTGTCTTTTAGTGTTCAGCAAGGAAAGTGTGGTAATGAAGCGATAACTTTTCACGGCTACTTCAATTTTGTGGCAGAATTTAAACTTTTGGTTTAGGTGGAATTCTCCAATTCTTTGCAATCTTGCAAATCATACAATAAAATCATGAATCTCTCTAGGTCATTATTTTGAAATTGTCTTCTTTGCCCAACTAAAACTCGCATGAATATAACATCCAAATACACATGAAGTCTGGTTCTGACTTTTGACAATGAGATTCGTTTCTGGCGATTTGATATCTATTGTGTAGTCAGTTGCACCACACCGTTTTTCTGACCTTCAAGTCTGTTGACAGTTCAAATTTCACTGAGCTCCTATTTCAACACGAATATGATCACGTCACTGACAGCAATGGTAAACTCGAGTATAATTTGCCTGAAATTTGAGCTTGCCCCGACGTTGCTCTGGGCACAGGCATTATTCATTCAGACGCAAAAGATGGTCATGCTGAGCTCTCAAAGGTATAAAGTTGTGGTTCTTTTTCATTGTTTCCATAATTTGCTTGAGGAAGATTGCATCACAACACAATGAATAACTTAGCACCAGGTTGCTTAAACTGCGATCAGTGCATTGTAATTTTGGAGTTGCAAATGAGTGGAGGGGGCCAAATGGCAGGCAACTAGTCTCCATTGTTGGAACTTATATCTCTTATGCACCTTGCTGTTTGAGTAATTTTGATTGAGTGTTAATTTGAGGACTAAATGGTATTCCACAAGTACTAGTGAGTCCAAGGGAATACTTTCCAAAGATGGGGATTAGAAGACTTTGTCTACCATCAAGTCCCTGTTCTGCATATTTATTAGCGATTCAAAGAAATACCCATTTGATGCATAAAAAAACATAATTGAGCAATCGAATGAAGAGTCTACGTGCTTCAGCAGAACGTTGGAGACAACTGGCATACAACACCAACCATGGAAGTTCTGACAGGCTGCCTTGGAGCTTCTTCCATTTTATAGGGAACCATTCAACAGTAACAGCAAAACAAAAAATATTTAAAACGTAGAGCTCTAGGGCAAAGAACAGGGCACAAGTCAGTATAAGAAGAAATTAACTTTTTTAGGTAGCCAACACTATTTTCTTCAATAATGTATTATTGTAGGTTTTTGTTACAAACACACATCAACATTTACAATTAAAAGTTTTTATTTTTATTTTTATTATCATTGTTTTTATCTTTTAGAATAATGAACAAATAATGTAAATGAATCAAGTGTTTGAGCAACATTTGCAATGTTCTCTTAATTCTTACTAAGATAGTTGAACAATTTTCTTGCTATTAGAAAAAATTTCATATGATGGTTTGGTATACTGCAAAAAAAGTCTTATTCATCCTAATTATAGTTATTATCTTTAGTTTAATATTTTTGAATTTTTAAAATTAAAATCTAGTTTTAAAAGATTCAATAAGTACAATAGCAAAGTTTTATACAAAAATAAATATATAACTAAAGAAAATTCAAGAATAACAAAATAAAACTAATAAAAATATGTTTAGTAAAGAAAAAATTGTAATTAAAGTTGGTGAAAAGATAGTGTTATCTTGTTATATTATGAATAATAAGCTTGTTATAACATCAATAATGATTGGTCTTGTGATAAGTTGATAATTAAAGACTTATTTTATTTATTATTCAAAAAAAAATTAATCTAATTTCTATATTGTTTGCAATAATCATAGTCAATAAAGATTTATCCCATATTTTAAGAATCTTTATAAAGTCTTATATCATAATAAATATATTGAAAATAAAATAAAATATAGCCACATTATATTGGAATAGATAACAATCTAAATTTCAAAATAGAAGAAATTTTAGATTTAGGACATGAACATAATATTAGCAAACATTAACATAGATTGAAATAGAACATTTGAAACTATTTTATATTGGTATGAATATAATATTAGCAAACATATACAAGAGCTATTTGAGAATCTTAGAAATACATCAAAATTTGTTTTTTTATTATCAAATTCATTTGTTAAAACCAATGATCAACTAATAAAAATAAGATGATATAAAACAAAGATATTAAAAAAAAAAAAAAAAAAAAAAAAAAAAACTTTAAAAACTTCTATGCAAGGTGGAGAAATTACAACTAACATAATTATTTTAATAATTGTCATTTGTAGAATTTTTAAATAAAGTGTTTAAATTAAGATAACCTTTATAAAATTAGAATTAAAATAAAAATTATTAAAAAATATATCTTATGTGCTAAATAGATATAAAGATATAATACTTATAATACCATGATTTTGGCCAAGTTTTTGATATTTAGCGATAGTATTTGACATGAATACTTTACTTATAGCATTCAAAATATATTGTTTGAAGATGGTTATAAAGTCCTTAATAATGATCAAATAATTTTGTGGTCTTATCTTAATATGGAATATTATCAATAATCCAAAGAACCTTTTAATTACTTTTGTATAATATACAAATTAAAGTTTGTTACAAAAATAAGATACACTGATCTACTAAATTAAACATATTGGATTGCATAATTTTTTTTTTGTTTTGAGAGGTCATCTAAATAAACAAAGAATAGCCACATGAAGAATATGCACATATCTTTGATGCCATAATTAGACCAAAAGTTCTCTCAATTGTTATGATTCTTATTATAACATTAGACCTTAAGGCACATTATTAGAACATTGTAACAAATTTTTTCAAAACACTAATAAGACGAAATAAAATTATTTATGTTCAACCTCTACTAAAGTATGAAGAATATAATAGTGAAGGTAATATATTAATTTTACTATTTTTTAAGCTCTCTATGATTTGAAGCAAGTACTAAAACTTCGGTATCTTAAATTCACCAATTATTTTATATAGTTGAATATCAATCATTGATATTTGATCCATACAAACTTTGATGTTTTTATAGCAAGCTATTTATTTTGTAGATTAATAATATTCTTCATATTTTTTCTACCTTATTTGGAATACAAAAAATAAATGAGATAATAAAAACTAAGTATCATCATAAAGACATAAAAGAAATTTAAGAATATCTAAGTATCAAGGTTATCAATTGTTTTTGAAAATAAACACGTAATCTGATTTAAGATGATTATATTTCAAAAAATTATATTAATTTTGCATAAAAAGATTAAATTCTAGTCTCAACATCAACTATAGATACAACTCTTTTTGAACCATTTAGCATATAGTAGATCTAAACTTTGACAATATTATTAAGTTCAATTTAGCTCTCTTATGTATTTGATTATTTAAACAAGACCAAATTTTATAGATTTATATACATAATTAGAACAATTTGCTCATGATCCATGTAAATGTCATAATATCAACATAAAATAAGTCTTTTTTAGTTTATAATCTATTATGAGTCTTGGCATATAATATATACAAATTGGCCTCTCATCATTGGACATTAAAACATTCATCTTAGTTCTATTGGATTTATTGATGTTTTATACTCTAATGATGTTATTAATTAAAAATTGACTAGTATGTATCTATTCAAGTTTGAGGGTGGATCAGTTATTTTAAAATCTTAAAAATAGATAGTAATGTCACATGTAAAAGCTAAATATATTAGATATTCAATTGCCACCAAAGATGTTGACTTCAACTCCTCTTTCAAGGATTGAATTACACAAGAACAAACATCCAAAGGATTACTTTATATGGTAAAAATTAACTTGCAATTCTCTTTATCATCAATCTAAAGCATCATTTTTAAACAAAATATATAGTTATTTTCTTACAATATATCTATAAATAGGTTAAATTTGCCATATTCAATTTAAGTATGTTTCAACCAACAACATACCTACAAATAGATTCACCAAGCTATTCATTGGGATCAAATTCTAATAATTTGTAAAAATATTGGACCTAGTCTTCCATAATAGTTTTTAATTATAAATTATCACAATATGGAAGACTAAAAGGCATATACACACTATAAACTAGGTACTTATGTCTTAGAGGCACTTTGCAAACAATGTGATAAATAATAATTATGAATATTAGTATAACTTGAGAGATCTATTGAGAATATAGAAGTCTTCTTGTATTATAGTAGTAATATCTAAAAGACAATAATAAATTAGAATAGCTTGCCATACTCTCTTTTGATTGGAGATTTGTCTTCACAATGACAAAAAAAACAATACTTCAAAGTTTAACTAGATAAAAGTAATCTCATAATCTTTCTATGAACATGTACATCTTCTTTTATGTCTAATTAGAGTGAAAAAAATATCTATTCATGCTATCCTTCTATTTTCAAATGCATGTATACATGAATAAGTGTAGAGTTTTCTTTTTGTGTGGATGTTTTGATGTTTATAAAACTACTCTGCTTTAGATAATCATTATGTTTTCATGGTAACTTTCAAATTAAATGACCAGAAGTAATGTCCATAGTTGAAGAATATAAATTTTTTCTTACTATTTAATTCATTCATTTTACATCTAGTAAAATTTATTGAAATCACAGTATGAATTCTTTTACAAAATTAGCAAAGAAATAGGCGACAAGATATGATTTTCAAATTCCATCTCCCCAAAAACTTTAACAACATTCCACAAAGTATATACAAAGACAGTTTCGTCGCATTGACATCATCAAGGCAGACAACCACGAATTCTGTGAAGATCTCCGTGAGTATCACAAAGCTCACCACAACCCCGTTTATGTTTTCACTTCCCTGTGGCACCTCTAAGGTTCCGAACCCTCGTCGATGCTGCGCCAACACACAAAGTCTTCGTAGCAAAGTAAATACCGGCAACTCAAATTCCTTTTTAATTTTGGATGAGGTATCACGGAAACCCGACAATTCCTTCCTTGATCAGCCCATCCGGTGAGTACCATCTCATGACCGACTGCAATTTCCCTGCATACAAGTACACAATTCCCTCTCTTAGGTTCGGAGATGACCATGGATTCCGAAGCCGAACTCGCGGTCCAGATGGGTGGGTTGATCTCTGACTTCGGCACTGCAATACCACTGGATGATGCTGCTCGTGAGAGTTGTTGCAGTGAGAGGAGAGGAGATCCTGAGAGTTTATTCTTGAGGGTGCGCTGGCAAGTTGGTTGGAGGAGGTTGGTTATGCAAGAGAGTCCGTTGGCAAGTGATCTCTCCGTTCCTCATCCTGCAACTCATCATCTTGCGCTGGACCCACTTCCCCAGCCTTGCAAAAATGATGTTTTTATTTTTCTCCGGGCTGCTTGTGTGGCTCTGGATCGGCGTTGCTTCTCAAACCCAATTTCCACGTCGTGTCTGAAAAGAATACTCCTGGGTGCGATGCGCTTTTGCGACTAGCCATTCGGAGCCAATCGGGAAGTAGTAAAATAATAATGAGAGAGGATGGGTCTGACGACAAACCCGAATGGAAGAGTTGGACGACAGTCGTGGGACTAGCTACGGCGATGCTGAAACAAGAGCTTTTGGCTCTGCCTGGCCGTGAAGGATTCTGGCTTGGCTTGCTCGTGTGACACGCGGCCATCGCGACAACTCCCCTGTAGATCCTCATCCAACGCCTCCATAATTATTCGGTCGTTTTTTTTTCCATTCCATGCTAGGCAGATATACATAGCTTCGGGAAACATGCAGAAGAGGCGTTGTGATTGTTCTCGAGATATTTTTAGGAGAGTCCTCTGAAGTGGTCTTCCTCGCGATTATCTGGAGACTGTTGCACGGTTTGGAACAGAGTAGTTGTGTAGGGGAGGTGGTGCGAGCATCGCCATTGCCAGCTGCAGCTTCAAGCGTGGGTATGTTGTATGACCGCATCGCGAAGTGGGTTTTGTAGCTGATACGGATGAACCGAATTGGAGGCAAGAGTGAGAGTGTGTTCAGGATTTAGGGGGTTGCCGAGTGAAGAAATCGTCCTCCTAGAACTCCACCATCATGCTCACCGTTCCGGCTTGCCATGGCCGCTCCACTTACCCTTCTCTGCATCCTGCCAGTCAGGTGGGTTCTCCTTCTCTTGTCCCGCATTCGTCCCATTGTTCTAGAATCGCTGTGCATCGGGATCTCTTTTTGTGCGTATAGGATTTTGCGGCTTGTGTTGGTGTCGTTGCAATGCTGGCGGGGTGGGGTGGAATGTGACGATGTGGCTGGTATTGTGACAGGGGGGAGGGGGAGGGGTATTGATAGTTTAGGAGGTTTCTATTTGAGTTTTCGATGCTTCTGGATGCGTGGGTTTTTGAAGGATGAGTATGCGAGGCGATTGTGGTTCAATTTAGAGCAGAATTACAATCGAGGGTGATTGAATGACTGTGTAGGTTCTTTCTTCTCGCCCTTTTGTTTGTCCAAGCAAAGGTTGGTGACGTTAGCATCGTAGCTACCGTGTCCGAATGCTATGCGTTTTTGCATCGGAGCTTGCGAGGACGTGCTTTGTGCATCAGAATGGAGGGTTGACAGAATCTGTGTCTGTATGGCTGAACATCATCAAGAAGGGAACGCGGGTTTCCAGTGGTCATTGTCTGCTTCTTTTACGACTTCGTTTGAGTCGTTTGGGTAAGTTCGCAGATAAGATTGCGTTTTTGACAGTAATTTTAGGTGCTCGGTGTTTCCATGCAATGCAGATTGAAGGCGGGAGCTTGGCGTCCTTGGATGTTTTAGGGTTGCAGCGATTCCCTTTGAAAAGGTCCATGTCGGGAATCGGAGTAAGTTTCTACCGTGATCGATGCATTGGATCGCGAGTCTGCCTTTTGAATTAGTCATTTTTTGCCGTTTTGTGAATTCGGAATAATATCCACAGATAGCATTACCATTATAAATAATAGATTGACATTGCAATTGTGGAGGATGGTTAGTGAAACGGATGATCTTGTTGACGTAGTATCCTGGCTGAAACTTTGGCTTGTTCTCATATCATGCGCAAACGACTGTTGCTCGGATGAAGAGCCTTAGCTTGTAATTAGCTTGAATGTTATGCTCTGCCTGGAAGGCTTCATGTTCCGGTCAGATGATTCCCCTTTCTTTTTTGTACGCCTTTTTCTTCTCATGCTTTTTTATTTCATGACGTGCAGCTCACGCGAAGCTTAGACTTCAAGGCTGGCTCACCTCTTGTAGTGAAGGCAACAGGTATAAAGACACAGAAGACAGACAGGGCAGATAACCCAGCTGGATGGGAGGACATGAGTGGAATGAAAAAGTTAGGAGTGATGGAGGTGGATCCCATGCTCACCGCCCATCAGGACCATTTGCAATATCGTTTTCGCGAGTATATGAAACGAAAGACGGAAATTGAGAAGGTAGAGGGAAGTTTGGAGAATTTCGCTAAGGGTGAGCATTTCTCTTCGTCGCAGGTTTATCAGGTTGTGAGGTTTAGTCACGATGAAGTTACTTGCTAAGATTCATGGCGCTCAGCATCATGTGTATGCTAGCACTTAATGAGTGTCGATTTAAAATTCTCCAAAGCTACAGCAGAATGAATAGAAGGCGCTGCACAATGGAATCGAACAAATCTCGGATTGGGTGTTTAGAGGATGTTGTGTTGTATGTAGGTTTCGAGAATTTTGGGTTTACCCGTGACGGAAGCTGCACTGTGTATCGAGAATGGGCTCCTGCAGCAGCGTGAGTTTTTCTTTCGTCACAATTCATCTTATCTGTAGAAAATTAGGTCACTACAATTAGATAGTCTAAACCACCTCACAACTACTACAGACGATAACTCAGAGTGCTTTTTCTTTACTTTCCTCGGTAATACTCTTCCTGTGGACGTCAATAACCAAGTAATTGGCTGGACCAGATCGCCGTCATTTTCATATCAAATGACAGTTTTATGGATATCGCATTGTTATCAATGGTCAGAGGAAGACTTCTGTATTGTTGTATATAGAGTAATTAAAGCCTCATCTAGTCTTGTCTGAAGCGCTTTCCAGCCTTGAATTCTGAAGAGAATATTGTTTTCGACAGGGCTGCTCAATTGATTGGTGACTTCAATAACTGGGATGGAAGTAATCACAATCTGCAAAGAGACGAGTTTGGTGTCTGGTCCATTAGGCTACCTGACGAGGATGGTGTTTCTGCTGTTCCTCATGGTTCCAAAGTGAAGTTTAGGATGCAGAAGGTTGATGGTACCTGGGTAGATCGTATTCCAGCTTGGATTAAGTATGCTGTGGTTGACCCTAATGTATTTGCTGCGTATTATGATGGTGTTCACTGGGACCCACCTGCGGCCGAAAAGTAAGTTTATCCTCCGTGAAGCCTTCATGCCTACTTTTTCGCTGATGCACGCGGAGTGTAGAATTCTTGCTGGGCTTTTGGCGGGCGTTTGCTGTATGTGTTGTACATGGGGGCAAAGTTTTTTATCATTTCTGCTTCATGTAGGATCTTTCACTGTTCATGAAGTCTGTTGACCCATTGATCTTGTGCTGTGATTCAGGTATCAGTTCAAGCATGCGCGCCCAGAAAAACCAGTAGCTCCAATTATCTACGAAGCTCATGTGGGAATGAGCTCGAAGGAACCAGTCGTGACGTCTTACAGGAAATTTGCGGACGAGGTTCTTCCTAGAATTAAGGCGAACAACTATAATACTATACAGCTCATGGCAATCATGGAGCATGCGTACTATGGCTGCTTTGGTTATCATGTCACAAATTTCTTTGCTGCTAGTAGCCGCAGTGGTACTCCCGAGGATCTAAAGTATCTAATAGATAAGGCGCACTCCATGGGACTTCGGGTTTTGATGGATGTGGTACACAGTCACGCTAGCACAAACGCCGTTGATGGGTTGGCTGGGTATAATCTGGATCAGACTTCTCAGGATTCCTACTTCCACTCAGGTGCCCGAGGATATCATAAACTTTGGGATAGCCGCCTATTCAACTACGGTTCTTGGGAAGTGCAGCGGTTTCTTCTTTCGAATTTGAGGTGGTGGATGGAGGAGTATATGTTCGATGGCTTCCGTTTTGATGGAGTCACTTCCATGCTTTACCACCATCACGGACTGAACATGTGTTTCACTGGAAACTACCACGAATATTTCAGTGAAGCCACGGATGTCGATGCAGTGGTTTATTTGATGCTTGCAAATGAGCTCGTTCACAATTTATTACGTGATGCTACAGTGATTGCGGAAGATGTGTCTGGCATGCCTACTCTCTGCCGGCCCGTGGAAGAGGGAGGCATCGGGTTTGATTATCGTCTAGCCATGGCTGTACCGGACAAATGGATCGAGTACCTGAAAGACAGGAAGGATGAGAACTGGTCTATGGGTGATATTGTTCACACTCTTACTAATCGTAGATATACTGAGCCATGTGTTGGTTATGCTGAGAGCCATGATCAGGTAATCATCCTCATTATATATGTGTTCCATTTGTCTATTAGTGCTCGTAGCATTCCTCTGAATGGCTTAGAACTGTTTCATGTGGTGCTGAAACTGTCAAATAATTTTATGTCGAGTTCTTTTGTTTTAATCAAGTGACATGGATGTTCTCCCACTTGAAAGAGACTTATTAGCATAATCAATGTTCACTAACGCTGTAAACTCACATGAGTAGTTTCCTTTATGGGATTTTCTCAACCGCAATCGGAGTCTGTTTCGGTAGACAGGCTTGAAATTTTAATACATCTTTTATGAGTAAAGGTTTCCTACATTCTAATGTGCTTTGTTTCCCTGCAGTCTATGGTTGGAGATAAGACGTTTTCATTTTTATTGATGGACAAGGAAATGTATTTTAATATGTCAACTCAGCAACCTGCGAATCTCATTGTGGATCGAGGAATTGCACTACACAAGGTCGAACCATCGTATCTCAAGTTATCTACCCGTGTTTCTTTACTGCGTGTTTGTTTATTTTTGGGACATTGAATATGGGTATGACTTGCTAAATTTATCAATGCAGATGATTCACTTTATTACAATGGCTCTCGGCGGGGAAGGTTACTTGAATTTCATGGGCAACGAGGTAAATATTTTGATACGAATTTCAGTACGAGGCACTCTAGTTGTCCTTTTTCCAGGGTCTAGGATGTCACATTTGATATACCTCCTTTCGTTTTATAGGAATGCTATTGCAGCAGATGACACAATGCAGTTTATTACTTTCTGTTCACCGCAGTCTCAAAGTGAAACGCACTTCATGATATAAATCTTCGCATGGATGAAAGATATAAATGAGTGGGATGTTTACGAGCTTTTCCACTACATTAAGCCGCTGCAAGTAGAGATACGCTGTTCCTTTTGAAGATCATGCACACGCTCTTTTTCCTGAATGCCTCGTGTCACACATTCCTTCGAGTTTATTTTAAGGATGGTTCACTTAATGTATACTCTTGTCCTTAATATGAACCTGTTGCGAACTGCAGTTTGGTCACCCAGAATGGATCGACTTTCCTAGAGATGGTAACAATTGGTCATTTGACAAGTGCCGACGACGGTGGGACCTCTTGGACAATGAGCAACTTCGCTACAAGGTTAATCTTTTCACATGATCTCATTGTGAGAGTTTGTTGCTGCCATGGTGTGTGTCAGTGATGTGTGCACATGCTGTTGATACACTAGTCCGTGAAGCGTGCGGAGTTCTTGAGTACCGACGGCGGTGTGACCTGTAACTCGCGAAAAACTTATTCGTTTTACCTCGATTTGGTCTTCCATTACTTGCTGACGTTGCTTCTATTTAGGAAAGGAGTAATCTAGACATGAACTTAAATGACTGAAGATAAGGATGTAGGATTTACTCGAATTCATCAGCTTTTACATATCCTCAGGCTTGTGGCAGAAAATTTGGCACTGAGATATCAAGTTGAAATTGATCTTTGATGACAGTTCATGAATAATTTCAACCGAGCAATGATTGCGCTTGAAGAAGAGTTCCAATTTGTGAGCTCCTCAAAGCAGTATATCTCCTGTGCAGATGAATCACAGAAGGTCCGTAAAAGCCTCTTTGCTCATTTAGCACTTTTCAAGGGTGATATCAAGCTTTGCCATCAGGCATTTCCTCGTGAATGTGGTTTAGCGACATTGTTGCATCGCATCATTGTTACCACGATGTGTTCCTGAAAATGCTTTAATTGGTCTCTACTGCAATTTAATCTTTATTTTATACATGATGTGTGATGGGTTTATTCACAGCTTATTGTGTTTGAAAAAGGAGACCTGGTCGTCGTCTTTAACTTCCATCCAACAAACACGTATTCGGGGTTAGTGTTCTTCTCGCTGAGCTTCTAAAAACAATTTGAATATGTCCTGCAGTGTGATATCTGTACCTTGGTGCCATCTCTTTTCTCCGTCGCTCGATCTTGATATTTCGAAGACTATTTCCTCTGAAAATCTAAACTTAATTATGTTTAGTGTTTTGCGTAGTGATCTGGTAAAGTTTAGATAAGTGGTTGGTATTGGTTTTTGTATGCGATGGAGGAACGATTTTCATTTGTAATCATGCATGCATATTGGAGATGTGTTGAATGGCAGGTTGAAGGTGGGCTGTGATGTTCCTGGGAAATATCGGATCTGTCTAGACAGCGATGCGGCGGAATTCGGAGGCCATTCTCGGGTATGGGTTGGTTTCCTTCAATTGTGTCGTATTTAGATTGGTCCTTTTTCTATCTGTTGCTATCATGTGCGGATTTGATGTGGAAAAACTCAAGTTTCACGTATACCATGACATTCGATCATTATCATTGGCTCAAACGCAGATTTTCCCGCTGTCAGATTGCGTAATGAGTGGTTACTGATAATGTATTTCGACGTACAACTTTGTGTTTACTCTTGAAAATCCGACAGTTGACGTGTGTTCTTTAAAGGTTTACAAAACAACCATCCAAGTGTTCTAGAGTTAACATGTCTTCGCATATCTTTTAGCTGTGCAGAGCTCTCTTCTGCGTCTGTTTACCGATTCGACGACACATATCATAGTATTGTTAAGCAATTCCTGACGCCAAATTTCTCTTTTTCCTTTCTCCCTTCTCTAGGTTGACCATAAAGTTGATCACTTCACCAGTCCCGAGGGAGAGCCAGGAAAGCCAGAGACTAACTACAACAACAGACCGCACTCCTTCATGATTATGGCTCCTAGCCGCAGTTGCCAGGTGGGTAATGTTCCCTTGATCTGATTTCTACTGTTTGTCCCCCAGATTCTTGTAAAGCTTACAGTATTTCAATGTTCGGAATGCAGGCGTACTGCAGGGTACCAGAGTAAAACGGAGATTGTCATTTGATCAATAAGGTATAATTTCTTGCTGTGCAACAAACTTTTCATGTGTACTGAAAGAGTATTGAGGAAGTGCGCATGCTTTTTTAACTCAATAGTTTCTAATCTGCCGTTACCTTCTCTAATTAGGGTTTATTAGTTTATTAATCAGAGTTAGAATTACGTTTGACCCGCTTCCATCTCAAAGTGGAGAACCCTAGTCATGGTAAACTTAATATTCCTACATTTTATTTCCCAGTTTTGAGTTGGGCCTGTTCTAATTTTATTATGTTCAAGGTTTTGCAGCAATGGATCTGTATACAATTGATCTGTGCCTAGGTTAGTAAACAAGAGTGTTAATTCGGTATAGCGTGCTAGTTCAGCCTGTAGGCACAAACTGTTTGCATCTTACGTTTAGGCTTCGAGGTTCACTTAACTCTCCTTGGTAAGTGAATCCAGCTTGTGCAGTCTCCAATTACCATGCTAATCTAAGTTACTCTATAGATCCACATTGGAGTTGCAAATTTAGTGTATTATGGAGCATACTATAATTTCCAGTAAGTTATTTGAGCGTGTACTTGGTTTGACAACTCGCGGATTTGTACATAGAATAATCTTTTTTTAATATAAAATGACGATCTTGATATAGTGCCATTTTTTGGCACAGTTCTGGTGCACATCATTGCAATTTTAATTGATAAAACTAATTAGTAAGTTGGTGTTTGGAAGGTGAAAATATGTTCCTGAAAACAAATATATATATTTTTCTGTTACAGTAGACATCAAAAGAACCAAAATAACTAGACCAAGGATGAACTGAAGATATACATAATAAGAATCATGAAACAAAAACTAAAATTGAACGTGCAATATATATATATATATATATATATACATATACACTAGTGGAACTTATACAGTTGACCATAAAAAAGGTGTGCATGTATAATTTGTGGTCAAATTATACATTCACACCTTTTCCTTAAGAAATGGTTGACCAAGAAAATATGTATACAAATATATATAAATATATATATATATGCTTAACAATACAATCCAAAGATAGAATCTTTCCTTTCATTTAATTTCATTCACATTTGCATTCACATTCATAGTCTTTGCATTCACATTCATAGTCTTTGGATTCCATTGCTTCAATGTGGACCATGTAGTTTTTAGTGCATTTTTCTCCATTAGCTTCTTTGTCTTTACAGCTTCTCTATCAAAAATCATGATTGTCACATCCATTATGCATGTAAGTATTTATAGGTGCCCTAGACTTGATCAAGTCGTTACATAAAATGACATAAGTTCATCATAAAAAGTACATAGGTTTTTATAAGCACCATGTTAAAAAGTATAAGATGTGCATTCAAAAAAGCATGGAACTCCTTGCTATGGTAGATCTTTATTTGCCTTGAACTTGCTCCTTACATACAATAGTCCAACCATCTCTCAAACATCCCTCTTCCTTGTTGAAGTTCACTCAAATTACATGTTATTTTCAAAAATGACCTAGTCAACTTTGCCTTCATATAACTCTCAGCTCTTTCATGTTCTTCTTATAAGAATTACAAGGTAGTTGCATACCTCATCAATCACTTATCAAATCTCATGACTAGGTAAGTAATATTCAAACTGTAGTGCAATTTTTACTCAAACTAACATTCTATCCTTAGACTCTTTCTCATAGACCTTGTTGCATCAAAGCACATATCTCTCAATTTAAAAGACCTATATATCTGAGATTTCATCACAATTTAGATAAGGCATTTCAAAAGCTATTCTCTAAAATTCATCTCAATAGCTGTAATACTTGCCAAGAACTAAGCTTACAAATTCGGATCACTTAGCTACCTTAGTTTCTAGACCCCCTTTACTTCAATGCTCCATCACTTCTTTTTTAGCACAAATGAGATCCTTAAATTTTGTATACTAGTGATATGCCTCACCTAAAACACCTCAATAAAATATGGTACTAAGATATTATTCCAATCATGCATAATAGACCAAAACCAAGATCCAAATTCTCTCCCTTTATTAACCAAAACAAAAGATATTTCAATAATCACAACCATCACTTTGTATCTCTCTTCACTTCCTTAAATCACCTTGATACCTCTAAAATATCACCAAGAAGACTTCAAGATGAAAATCCACCATATGTAGTCTATCTTATCTTTATCTTAATTCTAAAAATTATCACGAAGAGGACTCCAACATAAGAATCTATAATATGTGGTTTACCTTATCTTTATCATAATCCTCAAAAATATCACCAAGATCTCTCTAAGATGAAAATCCACCACATGTGGTCTATCCTATCATTATTCTTATCTTCTAATCTTCTTAGTTATTAATCTAATTGCTAGTTCTTTACTAACAATTAAGTACATGAATTAAAACAACATCCTACTAAGAATAATCTAATTGTATACTTAAAATAGGCAGAAAATACACATGAATGCCTATCAGTTAATTATTAAACAGCCCACATTACGACAATGGGTTCATCAATTTGTTATTTGTCATGGATCAAAAAATCACTTCAAGTTATATCCATATAACTTTCAAAAATCAGAAATAAAAAATTACTCCAAATTATCTATTTGTAACTCTCAAAAATCAAAAATCACTCTCAAAAATCACTTTTAGTTATTTCTATATAAATCTTAAAAATAACTCAATGTTCCAAATGGTCTCGGAGTTGCAACTTTCACTTGTCAAAAAATCTCTCCAAATTTACTTCAATGCTCTAAATGTTCTTAAAATTGAGCCAATCAAAGATGGTTTTTGTCTTCTCTTGTTTGTCCTTTGGATCTATTTTATATGATAAATATTAAGATGATTGTGTTCTTTGCTTTGTAAATTGGAATATTCTAATGCTTATTTTTACACTTTTGATTAATTTTTTTTAAAGTTTAAGATTAAAAAAATTATTCAAAAATATCAAGATATTTTAATTGGCTCAAAAGATATTTTAAAATTCCAACTATTATAACATAAGAGTTTGAAAAAAATTATAAAATTATAAATATATATATATATATATATTATTGATTTATATTATTGATTTATAAAAATCAAAAGTTAAAAAAATACAAAAAAATACTAGTTTGAGAAACAAAACTTAAAATATAAAAATATAAGAATAAAAGGCCAATTAGTTTTTTCAATAATATTCTTACATTATATTTAAAAATAGCTTTTGGTTATATAATAATCTAAAATTGTATCTAAATCAATCTACATTATATTTTTCATATCTTTTTTAATCAATTAAAATTACTCATCAATTAAAAATACTCAATAGATATTTTGATTCTATGTAGGTACTTTATTATGATTTAAAACTCAATACAAACTAAAATATATAAATTCATAAAAATTATTTTTAGGTATTTATTCTTAATCTCCTAATTTTTATATTCTAAAAATAATTTTAAATTTTAACTTTATCATAGTGCTTTTACAAACCAATTTATTAAAAATAAATTTCTAGAGTATTAAACAATTTCTGTTATATTAACATACAAGTTTTGTGATTATTATTTATAAATATCTTTGGTCGTATTAGAAATAATTTAAAATATTTTGTAGATAAGATTATTACAACTATCATGTATCATTAAATATTTAAAACATCCTTTCATACTATAAAATTTAATTATATAATAGCATTTTATTAACAATGATGTTTGTTAATTACATTCGAAGTACTCCTATGTACATTGTTATGGCTTTAAATCATGTTTTTATTGCATAATTTATCATTTTTTTATAAATCAATAATTAATATTAATTTATTATTAATTTATTATTAATAATAAAAAAACCTCAATTATATAGATATTTTATAAATTATTATATATATATATAGATTTTTTTATACATCAAATAATAAATCAAAGATAACTTTTTGTTATTTAGTTTAATTTCTTTTTTCTCTTTAAAAATGTAGATTCATGACTTTGATATTTTTATAAGTTGAAACTTTATATATTATTCTTATAATATACCAATTAATATAAGTAAATTAAATAATATATTACTAATTTTAATAGCTGATAATTTATATGTCAAATTATATTACAAAAATATAATCTATAATAATTTATATCTTCTTAGAATCTATTTGCAAATCATTATTTGAAATAATATATTTAAAAAAATACTTGACTTGTTAAAAATATATATTTTTTCATCTTGATATATAATCCTATATATCTAAATTTTTGTAGTACAAGGCAAAGATATTATTTATGCATTTCTATACTCTTACAATAGATAATAATATAGTTTAAATAATACATGAATAAACATCTAAAAATACACAAAATATGTTATTTATTCAAATGTAGAAAGATTGTTAAAGCATTTGAAAGTCTAAAAGGCATAACATTGTATTAAAAATGATTATATATAGTTTAAATTTTAGTCATCTATTCTTTTTCTTTTTAATATGTAAAAAATTATAAGTTCTTTATAGATCTTAACTTCAATTCATTAATCAAAGAAACATGTTATTGAAAAGAAATTTATTTGAAAGGTCAATAGATTTATTTTTGAAGATTAACTACACAATTATTAAATTAGTATTTGAAAATATTTTAGTATTTTTTAAAAAAATATATCTTAATTTTTGAATATGTTGAAGAATTCTATAATAACTTTTACTTAGTAAAGATTTGGTATTGCATAAATGATAAATGGATTTTTTTTTTTTAAAGCTTGTATAAATATTGTCATAGATATACTATACAAGAGATCAAAGAAGAAGTTGATCAAAAGAGTTTCAATAAGAGAGCGACTAAAAACTTGATTAAATTCGATGAGTACAAGATCAACACCAAGAAAAGTAAGCTAGAGCTTCAAAAGATGTGTTTTCAAGACTAAGGATCTTTTTAGCCTTGACTCCAATAATTACTAGGTATTAAGAAGCTTCTTAAGAAGTTCTCATGTTGCTTCAAGACGAAGTAACCTTAAGAAGCTTCTTGAGAAGTTTTCATGTTGCTTGAAAATGAAGCAACTTCAAAAAGCTTCTTCAAAAGTTTTTATATTGCTTGAAGATAAAAAAAAATCTTAAGAAGCTTCTCGAGAAGTTTTCATATTACTTAAAGAAGAAGCAACTTTAGAAAGCTTCTTGAGAAGTTCTCATATAGCTTGAAGAAAAAACAACCTTAGGAAGCTTCATGAAAAGTTCTAATATTGCTTGAAGATGAAGCAACTTTAAAAAACTTCTTGGATAACTTTGTTAATCTTCCTAGAATTTTCTAAAATCTGCCTAAAATATTTTGAAAATATTCTAGAACCTTTTAAAATATTTTAAAAATCTTTTAGAATCTCTTATTTGAATATTTTTAAAATCTTCTAAAACTTCATATTAAAATATGATAAGAATCTTCTAAAATCATATAGAATATTTTAAAAATATTTCCAAAAACTTCTTATTTGATGTCCATAATAAATATCTTGGATTTTATTATTAAAAAAAATTTCTTTTTAAATATAAGATATATATTTTTTATTTGTTTTTTTTTTTTTTTGATAGAATAGATAAGTAGAAATTCAAGACTATAAGATATCTACTTCATCTATCAATTATATTTATTATCCATAATAGTCTTAAAATAATAAGATTGATTGAAAATTAGTAATATTAAATACTATTAGGTATTTATGACATTTTATCACTACTTTTATTAGTATAGATTTGTAGATAAAAATATCTAAAGATAATGGTTGTTTATCTATGACTTTTATATATACAAGTTTGGCTCTTGTACCAACAATATCTTATATTTCTTAGAAAAATCTTTATTAGAAAAATAAGTAAAAGAATAAGAGTCTAACAAAGCAAATGTTGTCATAATAAGATTATTAGATTCTAAAAAAAAATTAATCAAAAATAAAGAAAGTTATATAAAATATAATATAGGAACTTATAAGAAGATGTAATATAAGAATCTAAACATATGTTTTTTAATATTATTTTGATTTTTTGACATATTATATATTTTTAAAATTTTAACATTAGTCTTGTGATTTTGTTGCTTTTAGGGATAATATTAGAAGTAAGTTTTGATTTTCTACAATATAGGCATAATTATTTTTTAGTATTAAGTTTGTTCTTATACTCTAAGAGTGAAATAAGATCAATCTATCTTGAGAGTCTAAGACTCTTCTAATCCACAGCCACTTAAAACCTCATCACAAAGTAGGACAAAATGGACCAAAATAAACCTGAACAAAATTAAACAAAATAAGACACAAAAGACAAAGTTGTGCAAACAAAAATAGAACAAAACAGAACTGAATAAGAAGATGCAAAACCAAACTTCACTAAGAAAGAAGGTCCAAAGCCATACTTGACCAAATGCCTAGAAGGCCTTGGTTAGTCCTATTTATACTTTGTTCTACCACCCTAGACTTTCTAGAATGTTCTTAGATGATGGATCCCACTTAGATTACCGCCTTAAACTCCATTTAGAAGGTTCTATGGTAGATCCTATCTAGATAACCAACCTAAGTCTTTTTCAAAAGGTTCCATGGTGGATCCCACCTAGATAATCATCTTAAGCTCTTTCTAAAATGTTCCACAGTAGATCTTACATGGTCCACTAACTTAGCCCTAATTCTAGAAACTTCCATAATTTCTCAAGCATGGTTCCAATTATCTATCCTTATATATTAACAATACAAATATCTTATCTATACTTTGTTACAAAGAAATTTGAAATATACAATATTATTTTATATTTTTTTATATTTGATAATATATCAAGAAATATTTGCAATCATAGTATACAAGCTTTAATGTACTAATGTCAAACTTTGTGTTTAAAATTCAAAAATTTGTTTATCATATTTGACAAAATATTCAATAGTTTGATTCAAAATTTGAGAATTAGACAAGTTGGACAATATTTTTTTTGCATAATGTTGTAATTTATATAAAAATTGATTAATGAATATTGTATTATCCCACTTTACATGAATTATTAATTGTCAAAATTGTGATGCATATATTGATACTTATTAACTTTTTTATTGTAAAAATTGAATTTATTTGGTTGTTATATAGTTTGCATCATGTTGTCCTTACAAAAATTAAAATTTTGCCTAAAAGATATTTAAAATATTAAACATAAAATCTTGTCTTTTTAAAAATAATAAGAACTAAAAAATTAGAAATATATTAAATAAAATTTAAACAAAAATAATATAGGATGCTTGAGTTGGATAACTAAGAGATTAGGGTTAAATAAAAAGTTATATTTGGTTGATGAATCTTTAAAATTTAGATTAAATATTGTCAAATTTCTTTAAAAAAATAACTTTTGATTCTTTATCTAATACATTTGTATAAGTTATTTAAAATAATGAAATTATTAAAATAATTCATTTTATTTCAATGTCTACATGATTAATCTTTTTTTAATATTGAAAAAGATGGTAGACAAAGTTGATGCATAGCAAGCATCAAATTTCTCATTTGTTATTCTATTTATACTATAACAGTCTATATCTTTCATATATCTTTTGTATATATTAAGTCTTATAATTTTCTATAGAAAAAAAAAGAAAAAAATGGCACTAAAAAATATTTTAAATTTAAAAAAGAATAATCTAAAAACTTTAAGATACTTTGATTTTTAAAAGAAAAAGAAATAATTTATTATTTATTAAAAAATATTAAGCTTTAGTATTATAAATATGGTTCTATTTAAATTATCAAAGACATTAATCTAATAAAACTTAAAAGTCAATACATTTATGTATCATTGAAGAAAAAATAGAGAATAATGAAAAAAATATAGATATAAGATAGCAAAAGAACAAAAATAGCTATTTCCAAATGCAAATAAATTAGACAATTTTGAATTAGGATTTTAATAAAAGAGATGTATTAATAAGATATAAGATGATCTTGCTTTTATCTCCATATATACTACTAAAAAGGCAATATAGTGGCTTTCTAAAGATCATGTGATTAATGAAACAAGTGGTTAATATGTAAGACAAGTGGCTAATATGTGCAAGATATAGCCAACTTGCAAAAACATATGTCCAATATGATTTGATTGTTGGATGCTTTGGCTTGAGTAATAAATTATTTTAATGAATTTACTTTTGACTTTGTTAATAATAAAACTTTGACATTATCTTTTAATCCAAGTAGTCAATATGTGTGACATTTGGTCAATTTATTGGCTAAGTTTTCAACTTGTCAATCACCTACCAACTACCTACCAACACATACAAATCCAAATCTATGTCTATGAAGCTTCTAAAAAGCTATTCCACAAGATATTATCAGATTTACTTACTTATTTTTACTTCTACCTAAGTATTCTAATCTAAATAATTACTAGTATAAATATTTATATTTATGACACCTCTATATATACTATCAAATTAATGAACTATGTAGTGACATTCTATAGATTACTTAACATGTGTCTTACTTGTAAGATAAGTCTTTTTTATGTGCACCACATGACAAATTTGTACCACAAGTCGCCAATATGTGCAACATATAGTCAAGTTGTAAAGTAAGTGGTCAATATGTGGAACATGTGGTCAACTTGTTGGTGAAGTTTTCAACTTATCGATTACCTACAAATACTTAAAAAGTCAAATCCGTATCTATAAAGCTTCTAAGAAGCATTGCTAGAAGTTATTATCAAAATTACTTATTTCTATTTGCTTTTGCTTAACTATTCTTATCTTTATTAGTGTCAATGTTTTCGTGATACTATATCTAAGAAACATCTAGGATGCTATTTGGATAAGATGTTATTAAATTAATATACTTCTATTTATTTCTATCTACTTTGGTTTATTTAATTAATATATGATCATATTATAAGTGTTGTCAAATTGTCAAAGATATAAATTTGAAAAGACTTCTAAAAATATAATATATTCTATAAAAGAAATGAAGTTTTTTTTCTTTTTTTTTAAAAAAACTAAACTAAATTAAAGAAATTATATTTTTATAAAATATAAATATTCTAAAATATTTATTATTAAATTTAAAAAATTTAAAAAATTAATTAAAATTAGTAAAATATTGATAAAAGTAAGAATGGCCTTAGTCTTCTCTCTAAAGATATTAACTAATAGAAAGACCATAAAAAAACTTTCTATCAACCACATGACTTGTAGTTAAGCGTCCAAGTTTTAAAACACTTCTATAGAAGTTTCTTAAAGATAAAAGAAACTTTTGCAGTCACTTGACATATCTAAAAGATTTTGTGGATATAATCATAGTCTAAAATACTTCTTTAATGTTTCTTAAGGAATATATTTTTACCTAATATGTTTTTATAAATATATTTCTAAAAACTTATATCATTGATATACAATTCTAGAAGTAATAATAAAATTTATTATAAAAACTAATGAACACATATGTAATTTTTACTAAACCAGTATCAGAGAAAATGAAAAACATAATTTTAGAATTTGTACTAAACCATATACAAGAACCATATAAATCCTTTTTTTTTGTACACACTTGCATATCTTTGGAAGCTACTAGAAGACTAACTTTCCCATTAACAAAATTCCAAGGATAACTTGCTACCAAAGGGAACCCAATCGCTATGGTCCAAAAATAGCGTGATGAAGGCTCCAAGGAACGAGCAACGACGGTGACGCCCATTCATCCACCACCATTCATCAAAATTGAGGATGGAAGCTGAAAAAGGAAGCCTTCCATCGGGGATCTGGAGGCTTTTTCAAGGTTTGAATTCCCCTCCATTGGGCCATATTCTAGTTTCCGGTGAAGCTGTAGGGTTTTTCCTCCACGCATAGATTGCGTCGAATTGCCTCACAACATCACTGATCTTGTCGCTTAACAAGCTTATAACGATCTGGTGCACAGCTGTTGGAACCAGGGGTGTGAGAACTGTAGCAAGCGAGCGAGCAGGGGATAGGAAAGAGCTGTAGAGAAGTTTGGATGTGAGTACGCACAGCGAGGAAGAGGTTTGCAGGGGAAGAGATGACACGGTGATTGTAGAGGACTCACGGAAGGAGTTTGAAGTGGCCGAGAGTGTAGTGGATCCTATGTGTTGCCCTAGAGAGGTGCGTACTCAAGCTGGCGGATGTCTCTAGCTTGGTCGAATTTTCCTTGGTTACTTACTCAGTAGCTGGGCTGAGTTCTGCGAGTGATGAGGATTGGAATGATTGCGTAGGGAGAGAAAGATGTGAAGCTGCTGCACTCCAGTCTGTGCACTGTCATTATTGTTTGTATCAGTCATCGGGTTGGAGCCGCGAATTTCTCCAGGTGGGAATTTCGTATTTTGTTTTTTTATTTTATTTTCTTTTCCCCTTGTTTTTAATTTCTTTTTGGATGTTTTAATTTCTGTTTCCGTGTGTCGCCTTTCGTTACACTCTTTCTTTCGCTAAAGAGTGTTATAAGTTCGATACGCTCTTTCTTATTGTTGCGCATTCAGAGATTGATCGTTAGAACCTTTTCCTTTTTGAATGATCCAGCGGCAGATATGGCGTCCGTGATTTATCTCGACAGCAGTGACGATGAGCATGAGCCAGTACCAAAACGAGTTGAGCAGCAGATTCCTTCCCACGTAAAGCAATTGGACAGCGTGAAACCTAGCGCTGCTCAAGGCAAGGTTGAAAGGATTCATGGAGATCCTAGTGCTCAGCGAAAATCCGTTGAACATTTGAGTGTACCGAGTGCACGAAGTAATGCAACAGTCTCTAATGACCAAGCACGAGAGCCTACAGGTACTCAGCCTGAGAGTAGAGAAAAATGGACGCCTGTACCAAAGCGTACGAGCGCTGCGGATGTGGTAGGTCCCTCTAGTGCAGAAGAAAATTCTCTTTCTCGTCATTTCTGGCAGGCAGGAGATTACGAGAGTCAGGTTGTAATGAAGAAGAGGCCTCTTGCAGGTATTTTTGTGTTCCACTCCCTCTTTCTTTCAGCCTTCGTCTGCTTTAACTCGAGTTGCCTAGCTGTCATTTGCAAATTAATTCAGAAACAAGCCACGATTATTTTACTTTGTCAGAGGTTTTGTGAGTATAATCTACTGGTTCAACGATTTATGATGTATTCAATCTGAGAGCGCTGGGCAATACTTTTGTGGCAGTTGCACGACAAAAGTAAAATCATCACTGTGTGTGTGAAATGGCAGGGGCTCTGGATCATGTAAGAGTGCATCCCAAATTCTTACATTCAAATGCCACGTCTCACAAGTGGGCTCTTGGAGGTGTGTTTTCTATTTTATTTGAAAATGACCGGAAAGTTCTGCGGAAACTCCCTTTGACACCATATGATATCTACTGTGCTGTAAAATGTGCTAGTTGGTAATGTTAAGCAAGTGATTGTTTCGATTGTTGGTCTCTCTCGTGTTATACCTTAGTGATTCCAATGTTAGTAAACTTTCGGAAGTCTCGCTAACTTTGATGGATGAGCCAAATCCTTCTTATCAGCAGAAAACAGGAGGTTCCACCACAATAGACAAGTCTGTCGTAGTTGCTGCTACACATAAATTTATTCTATACACTTCGAGAGTTTTTGTAGTCTTGATCTGATGTGCTGTGAAGTAACACAACATCGAGAGTGTACAGAATTATTCTCATGTGTGCCAAGGTGCATCAGATATGTTTGTTGTAGTGAACGTCACATTATATACTGTTTAATTCATGTGGCTTTTGTCAGATGTTGCTTGTTCTCTTCTTTCTTAGTTAATAGGAACTTATATGTCCTTGGCAGCCATTGCGGAGCTCTTGGACAACGCTATCGATGAGGTGAGTCGTGCTTTAATGGTTCTGTAAAGTTCACTCTCATTTCTGCGTGCATCTTTGGAACTGATAATAACAATACATACGTAGTCTAGAATGGTGGTTACTGAAATTGCACGTGGGCGTGTGCACAGGTTTCGAATGGAGCTACCTATGTGCGGTTAGATAAAATAAAAAATGCACGAGAAGGCAGTCCTGCTCTTCTTGTTCAAGGTTCTCCCCTATCACTCGCTGTACGTATTTTCCTGCTTTGGGTAAATTAATAAGATGTTTGAATTACCTTGGTTGACGGTTAAACATGAAAAATTGGTTGTTGCAGATAATGGAGGGGGTATGAGCCCAGACAATATTCGGCAATGCATGAGCTTGGGGTATTCCCTCAAAAACCAGAAGACCACCATTGGGCAGTATGGAAATGGTTTCAAGACAAGTACAATGCGATTAGGGGCAGATGTTATTGTATTCACTAGGAATCGAAATTTGAAAACTGGGTAAGCGGAACTGTTTTCATGTGCTTTCTTTTTTCTGAAATATTGGAAAGTGGGGAGTTTTTGCTGTTACAGCTGAAGTTATGCAAACTTCCATTATGTTAGAATACGTTTTTTTGTATCCTGGGACACGCAATGTGCGTTGAAGTGTTTTGAGGTGAGGTACAGAAAATCTTGATTTCGGTATTGTTTCAACTTCTTCTGCTACTAGTATTATATTGTGGCAATCTGCTGCAGGAAGTCGACACAAAGTATTGGGTTACTGTCTTATACATTCTTGAGGAAGACTGGACACGAAGATACGGTAGTGCCTATGGTAAGTTCGAGGGTTTTGTGTGCTGCGCATTTTTTGATCGTGGAAGTCAACCAGACTTACCTCGAGATTCTACCATGTTTAGATATTTCATGGGCCTTATGATCTTACTGCGTATTTGATCTTTCTGATGGAAAATCTGTATACTTCTGAATTTAAAACTAGCTTTTGGGACACTGTTTAGTTACTCGTGACATTCATGCACCTTCATAGTAGTAGTGCACAAGTAAAGTTACCTAATAATTGATTCCCCGTTGGATTTAAGCACTTGAAAAGCTAATGCTAAAATATAGCCTTGAAGGTCCTATACGAAATATATATATTTGTAATCTCTTTGATTTGTCGTGTGTAAATTGTCAGCTGGACTATGAGTTAGATGCACACTTGGTTAAGCCGTCAGTTCTGTTACGCACTACAATGGACGATTGGCTCAGCAATCTCAATACAATTATTAAGTGGTCCCCATACAGTTCAGAGCAACAGCTCTTGAGTCAGGTACTGTATTATCATTTGAACTTTTCTGGTGCTTTGCGTGATTTAGGAAACTACTTGTGAACTCTCAAGCAAGGCTCTGGCGTGTAGTTTTCCAATCTCCCACCGTCTTCTATGATCAGTTTCGTAGTACCGCAGTCTCAGTAGAAGTACCCGGTGACGTCAAGTGCCTTGAAGTGTCTTAAACTGTCTTGATAATACTTCAAGTGCCCTAAGACAATTCAAGATACTTCGCGTCATCTAAGGTCATTAAGTGACGTCTACTTCTGAGGAATTACTAGGTTGCACTGGATCTACTGCTGGTGAATGACAACGGCTGTATACTAACAACGTGCTTTTCTGCGAATCAACAGTTCAATGATATAGGTTGGCATGGAACTAAAGTTATCATCTATAATTTGTGGCTAAACGACGATGGCATCTTGGAGCTGGACTTTGACTCTGACGAACATGTATAAATCTGATTGTATCCCGTGTGCTTTGAACGTGTCCCTCAACTTTTGATTTTGTTTTGCTTCATGTAGTCTTATTTATTTATTTATTTATTTATTGCAACATCAAATATGAAGTTGTGTTGTTTTGCAGGATATCCAATTACGAGTGGCTTCTAAGGAATTACCTAAGAATCATACCCTCCCATCGCTTCTTTCAAATGAGCATATCAGCAACCGCTACCAGCTTTCTCTTCGGGTAATTGTCTATCTCCACACAAGGACTTTGTAAGTGTATTTTAGATGCAAGTAAGACACTCTTTCGTAGTAGTCGCAAAAATTCTGTCTTTCTCTCTTATATCTTTGTGTGCAATAAGCAGTGGGAGTACATGCAAAGATAGTTGTTTCAAGTTTCGTGGACAACGTCATCTCTTTGCGGAATACTAAATTTGCTGAATACAACGTGTGGATTAAACTTGCTGTTGCAGGCATATGCCTCAATATTGTATTTAAAACTGCCAGAGCACTTCAAAATCATTTTAAGAGGCCAACCTGTGGAGCACTATGATATAGCTGAGGATCTCAAATTCAAAGAGTACATTATCTACAGACCTCAGATTGGACCTAGCAAGGAGGCCTCAGTGACAACCACTATAGGATTCTCAAAAGAGGCACCCATGATTAATGTTCACGGTTTCTGTGTCTATCACAGAAACCGACTTATTATGGTATGCGTCATCTATTCTATTAAAGAACAGTTCACGTTCAAGCTCTTGGTTCATAATTGATAGATGACTATGGCACTCGATTCTACAACATGTTCTGTGATTTTTGATCCCTATTGCTTATTGTTTGGATTCTCATGGCCAAAATTCTTGGTGGACAGCCGTTTTGGAAAGTTTTCCAAGAGAATAGCAGTCGAGGTAGGGGTGTCATAGGTGAGATTTCTGCACTTCTGGACTTCTGAAGTTAGGAACCCGTTCTGATGGAATTATATGTTCACCTCTCTTCATCAGAAAGTAAAATGTAATTATGCGGTCAATGCTGAACATTGTAGAATTCATAGAATTGGCAGTGCCCGTGGGTTGACTTGCGGGGCTAAACCATACCCGAACTTTTTTCTTTTTTTCTTTCTCCTTTGCTTATGTTTTCCTCCTCTCGTCGTCTATCCTTGACAAATGTGCTTATTGTGGTTTGGTGAAGGATTCTCTAGTATCACATGTGAAAGACCTTAATTTTATGTTACAATTGCGTTCAGATAAATCAATTTATTGAAGTCAGTTTGGTTCATCTCGTTGGCAGGTGTACTGGAGGCAAATTTTATGGAGCCTGCCCATGACAAGCAAGACTTCGAAAGGACTTCAGTTTTTCTACGACTCGAAGGTCGCCTCAAAGCCATGACAATTGAGTACTGGTGTGGGCTTTTTCTACTTATATTTAAGCTTTTACTTTTTTTTTTATTTTTATATTTGTTCCTTTTTTCTTAGGTGGTTCTGCTCCACGTTGTGGAGATTCTCATTTTTCATTTTTTTGTAATTTTTGTTTCAATGCATTTACCGTGTTGTATTATAGTTTTTCGAATTTATTATGGTCTGAATCTTTGGTCTGGACTTCAGGAATTTACATTCCCATCTTATTGGCTACAAGAAAACCATTAGGCCCAAGCAAACTGCACCTCAACCTTTAGACACCTCGAGACCAAATACCACATCCTCCGCGCCTCTGGTCACTGCAACGGAGCCTTCTCCTACAAGTTCAAGCTCTAGTGGTCAGCCAAGAGCATCGGGCCCCTCCACCCCTCCTAGAGCTGGGGTAGAAACTATAGACGCAGACGGAACACTACAACCATCAGGAAATGGCGCTGCAACTCCTCTTACTTCCGTAGAGAGGATTGCAGTAGGCAATCCACTTCCGGAGAAAGTGAAGGTAGAGAAGGGGAGTCGAAATCCTCCTTCAAAAAGATCACGTGACCAAGAGGACAGTTTGGTTGAAGCTTCCAAGCGACAGCGGTCAAGTTCAGAGGCTGTTCCCTTGGCTTCACGCGGAGCTGGTGACATAATTGCATCGACGCCGGATAATGGGGCCTTTGTAGTTTTGGAACAGCAGAATGCCATTCTTCGTCAGAAGTAACATCCATTTGACCTCGATCTTACCATTTCTGAGACCAAATGGTTTGTAAATATGGTGTCCTATTGAATTTTGACAGTGAATAATTGTACACTCGTTTCACGCATACAGTTATTGTTTGTGCTTTTCAGATGTGCGGAATATGAGTTACGTGAGCGACATTGGGAGCAAAAGCTTCTTATGCTAGAACAACGAGAGAAAGATTGGGAGGTGAAGGTAAGCTTAACTTGCAACAGCTGAAATTCCTATGTGTTACATCTCTTCTGATTTTCCATTTCTCATCTTTGCTATGTATCTTTCTTCGTTGAAATATGCGTGGTGAAGGAGGGATTAGTATCTTGACATACTATAAGGGGAAGTAGCCTTCGCCCTTCAGTACAAGACTAAATTAGCACTTTAGGAAGCTCTCTTTGCCAGCCTGAGCTCCACACAATCTTCAAGACATCTTTTCACAAGGAATCCGCAATCTAGTGTAGTGTTTTTGGATTTATCTTTGTGAGATCCTAAAGTTGATGCTTACTTCGAACTTTGACACTTCTAGCTGAATTCAAAAGTAAACAAAAACAAAATGCGGCTAGTGAAGTGTAGCTGGCTATAGATGAATTTCAAATGCGCTTTGCAAACAAATGATCGAGAACTAAAAGAAAAGTTCGGGTTTTCTGAGAAGTCAAAACAACCCTCAAGCTAATTTTTTTGATTTCATTAACATTGTTGGGTATCCTTGAAGGTTGAAATTCTCACTATAATGCACGCCTCTAACTTGTGTTGGTATGAGTGGCTTTGAGACCTGTGTTGTGGGGTCCAAAATTTTTGTATGCAGTGTAATATTTTAGAAGTGGTGCTACTTGATTATTTTATACCTAATTTAAAATCTTCGTTGATTTCCTTGAGCCCTTTCAAATGCATGTTTTCAGGTATCGACATTGGAACGAGAAGTTGAGGAGCAGAAATCTAAGTACGTCATGCTCATGAGCCAAATGAAATCATTGAGTGCAACAGAAGCACAGGCTAGTAAGGTATGAATTCAGTCCTTACTGCCACTGGACCTTGAATGTCCCTAGCTTTTTGAATGGAGTACAAACAGAACAATGTGCCAAAGCATGCCTTTTCACTGACATTAGGGGTTGGTTGTCATTCTTGCAGAGAAACGGAGTTCTTGCAGCGACGACTGGCGTGATAAAATCGGAGCGTAGTTAACAGATGCAGAATGACTGTCTTTGAAAATTCATTCAACATACTCTTCTATCTAGCATGTACTCTGAGGAACTCTTGACACATTCCTTGGAGAAAATTTGAAAATCAAAGCACGTGATGCGTAGAAATGGTGATGGGATTAAAAACTCAGCAGCCCATCAATTGAGTTGCACTGATTTATGTATGAGATAGTAGATCCCAGTAATCCTGGGCATAATTTTTGTACTGTAGGAAAGAAGTGCCTGATGTACTCCACGATTTAGACTGATTTTTGTAAAGGAATTATTGAACTTAAAAGCCACTTCAGTGGGAAAAAAATTATTTATTACCCTTGATGTGCATTGTGGTTCACATTTTTCAACTGTGTTGCAAGATCCCACAAACTGTTTGTAGTGCTTTGGAAGTTTGTTTGAGAATTTGATGTGTGATCGAGACACTATCTATGAAAGGATTGACCAATGATGTGAATGCCTTGTTTATGAAATTCTACCGCATTAGTTGCTGAAAGCTTCCTTTCTGATCAAAACTTACCTCCAAAGCTCTATAAGTCAAGATTGGCATTAAGAAAAAGGCTACACTAGCTATTAGCTTAATCAAGTAGATAAATTTATTAATTGTGTTGGCGTGAACTGTGACACTTCGGAGCCTTATGGAAATAAAAAACCACGGAAATTGTTTCCAAACAACATAGATGTTGGCCATTCAGCCAATGAGAAGAAACAAGGTGCATAGTAAGTGCCTGGTCATCTTTGAGTCCACTTAAGCTGTGTCAAACATCCCCAACCATATTCGGCTGAATTCGCTTCGGCTAAACTTGCTTTTATTAGGTGGAGAAAAGACAATTTGTCCCACAGGACTGAACTTAGAAGCACATCCACTATGACCACTTGTTATGACCATATGGACTAATATGTAGAAGACAACACGGTTCTATACAACAGGAGGTGTTGAAAAAGCCTCTAATGTCTAACATCCTGACATTTGGACACTAAAGTCCAACAATTTGACAAAACATTTGCCATACAAAGATCCGATATGCAACACGGCCTTGTTCACCTTCCGAAAGCCTTCTAATCAAACAATTCTACTCTCAACAGTTTTTGAGCAGCAAAAAGCAATAGTTCATGTAGAGAATAGAAGAGATTGACAACTAAAAGCATTCTTCTTGCAAGAAGCACCAAACAAGAGCTTGGTGTAAATTCTGAAAGGTGGCAAACTAGACGTAGTCTACATTATGATGCAACGACTCTGCTGCTCCTCTGCCCCTGGTGTCTGATTTGGTAATCTCCTCATGTCAGGTGAATTAGATGAGAACTCAGTTGTGTCCAAGCCATACTGCAGAATACAGAGCTCAAGACTTAGAACAGGAAGAGTTCACCACAAAAGGACATGGAAATTTAAAAAGCCGTCAGAATTTGGTATCACAAATTTCACGACAAGACATGGACATTCAAATTGGAACAAAAGATAAATCATGCCTTTTCCCGCATCCTTGTGCTCCAAGCATCACTACGAGGAGGTCGAGCTTCTGTTGCAGCCCCAGAACCCGATGCAGGGGGAGGCTGATTTGCCTGCCGGTCGACTACAGGTCGGCGGGGAGCTGACCTGGCCACCATGTAATCTTCGTCACTGTCGTAGTCTCTCCGTGCACTCGAAGAGATAGACCGGAGTATAAATGCGAAGAATAAGCCAAGTGCCTGCATTGAACAATACATTAAGTCTGGCTGCCAAGAATATCAAGCATTATTACAGATTGAATGTCGACATTCATATTGCACAAAAGCAAAAGAATAAGAGAAAATGTATAGAATTACATAGAGGATTCGACAGGTTTTTCAAAGGTTAAGCACGTGAGAAGACTCTACATTAAAATACTCGAGACCCTCTCAAACAATATCGCCGTGCTACTTCATTTTCTAAGAATTCCTTAGCACAACATCCCAGGAGGAGTCAGAAATTCGAACAGAAGAAATCACATAAACCAAAAAAGCAACAACCGAAGATAAGTTGAAACACTCACTTCTAGGACCACCACACCTAACGAAACCCACTTGCAGATATCTAGATTGTTCAATACAAATTCTTGAACTTTGTCCAACTCCCCGGTGGGATCCTCTGGTATATCCTGAAACAATACATAGCCACTTCAGAAAAGTGCCGATTATCTCCAGAAATACATTGAAAGAGAGAATCTGGCGATGAACATTCTCTGAGTGAAGAAGAGAGTCGAGCAGGAACCTCACCTCTCGCCAATGCCGATCAAAGAAAAGAGCTCCAGCAACTGCGAATTGTGCCAATAGAAGCAGAATTTGAAGTACACTATACTGTAATTTTCGTTCAGGAAAACTTCACAAGCACATCAAGAATACAATGGCAGTGTTACGGAGGGATTTTAACAAACCCTACTCAAATGATAAAAGTCATTTTAACATGTTACATCTATGAACATGAAAGGCTAGAATAACGAGGACAAAAACTCTCTCCCTTCATTTCTTTCAAAAAATGGAACTCAAATGTGGGATACACATGAAAGACAGAAGCTGTTGCTCAACTCAGCTGCAATATGTCCCGTCAAGGAGACAAAGCAAGTGATAGCCCCGGCACCGAAGAATGCGTAAATAAACCTGCATCAACTACTTCTTCAAGTGAGCGAGCATCTTATTCCCTAACTTGTCACAATCAAGGCCAGAACGCGTTGAGGAAATTACGAAATACAGAGATATATACGCACTTAGGGCTCAAACTGAGAGCAAACCGAGTGAAGGGTGGCATATACTGATAAATCGGACGTGTAACGTACCAAGGAGCAGGAAGTTTTGATATGTATAAGCCTTCTTTCAAGAGAGGCCTTGCAATAGGTTCCACCATAAACCCTTCAGTAAGTTGAACCCCATCAGATGACATACTTATATCCCCGCCTGATAAAAGCGCAGGAGCATTAACAAGTGTCTCTTGATCATGAGGGCCAAAGGAGCTCCATTCTTTTAGCATCCAAAGTGAGTATACTATCATGAGGGCCCCAACCAACGTTACCAAAAAATTGATCAACTTCAGAATACATTGGATGAATCCCTGGCAGGACATCTCGACTTGAATTCTGGGTCTACAACAAGCCGCTCGCACAGGGATTATATATTTTTTACGTTAACGGAGACATTTATGGTGCCACCAGCTCTGCACGACAAAAGACAACAAATTAGGCAACCAGTTCATAACAAACACTCTCCAACCCCTTCGAAGTCACGGCTTCAAATGAATTGAGAAATTATTGACATCATCCGAGCTAGAATCCAGGGACATGCTCATTCAGCAATAAAAACAAACCCAAAAGACATCTAGACTTGCTCACTACAGAATCTAAAATGATAGTTGAGTTCGCCGATACGAAATTTACAACCGGCTTTCTGAGCAATGAAAAGCTTAGAAAGCTCTGGATTTCTTAAACACGAAGCAAATCGCAAGCTATGCTTGTGATAACTGTCACCCTGAAAATAACTTCCAACCCGCAATAAACCCAAAAGCACTAATCCATCTCCTACCCACATTGCCCTAATTCATCACTCAACATGTTTCACACCCTGAGGCAGCTCCAGCTAAATTCACAACAGCTGCATCCCCAAAAAAACCCTCTTCCGCTCCATCGAAACCAAAAATCCCACAAACCACACGAACCACAGCTCATTCCCACACCCGCGATCCCCTGGTCTACGAAACACCCTAACAAGCAACTAACACCCACACACAAACGCCCCAAAAACCACCCGATTGTCCGAAGGTTTTAACAGCGACTCATCGACACCAGCAACATCCTCCCGCACCCATCCACACGGGTACCCAACAGCTACAGCAACGCAACCGATGGCATGTGCTGGGAGGCGAAAACAGAGAGACCAAGAGGCAGGAAACAGTAAGTCCGCCTACCAAGCCCCAAACTCTTCAGCGCAAGTGGAGTGGAGCTTTGGGTTTCCGCGTTCGTGAAAGCTTGTGCTTTGTGCTGCTTGTGCCCTTCGCCGTAGACCTCGGTTTGGCTTGGCTTGGCTCAGCCTCCCCTTTGGATTCAAGCTACAAGAGCTGCAACAAGAGCAGTGGCAGCAACAGTGGCCGCGGTGAAGGGGGGGAGCCGCCGTGGAGGAGGGGGCCAAGGCGCGGTGGTGCCGATGGTACCACGGCCATAGCCGTCACCCGCGCCGCGCCCTTGGGTGACTCGGGCCCCACCGCACCTATTTCCCGGTCACCGTTTATTTTGTTTCAGGTTGTTGTTGTCCCGGTTCTGGGCTGTGTTCAGACGACACTAAATATGACTTGCAGGTTTTTATGAATTATTTTTTTTATTCTTGTCGCTGTTTAAGTTTTTTTTGGGTTCAATTCTTCCAATTAGTATCTACAGTGTTCTTCTCTTGAATGGATTTTTTTTCTTAAAAAAAAACAGGTGATTTAAATGTTTTTCTTTATTCTTTTTTTCTTTTGTTTCTCTTTTTTGAATTAATATAATGGTTTGTGAACAAAGATCAATGTATTCATTCATTGTTCATTGGAGAATTTGTTGAATGTGAATGTTTACGTATGGAGATTTAACAAAGTTTAAAAATAATTTGTTGGTTTCTGTGTAAAGATAGATGTTTTTTTTAGCAAACCACTGAATAGATTCAAACTTGTTTATTTTCCTTTTCTGAATTCAGAAGAAGAGACATGTGATTAGTTTAGGATCCAAGAAAGGTAGTGACTTTTACAGTTTTCATTCAATAAATTACATTACATGATCAATTTTCAAAAAATATATTGAGTTATTTCAACTTAAAAAGACTTGTTACAACAATTTTAAAAACAACATATTCCAGGTTTAAAACAACTCTTAAGAGTCCAAACTTTACCATTTACCTATCCAAGATGAAATAAAACGTGAAACATTTTGATTTATGTTTTAAGTCTCTAAGACAATCCACCCAATTTATAAAATATTTATAAATTATTTTAAGAACTTTTAAACACCATAAAAGATAAATTTCCCCAAAATTGATAGTTTTAATGCCATTACAACTATGTTGAACTGTTCTTAAAAACATGACATGACAAAATGATGCCAGCCAAATCACAACAACTATGCATGTTACATATACAACCAAATTGCTGTTTAAAAAATTAACAAAAATGAACAAAAATTACTTAAAAATTCTCACAGAGAATACTATCACCAAAAAATGCATAAGGGGAGCCTTGTTGTCAAATCAAAGTTTCTTAAATCAAAATCACAGTAAAGCATCTCACTCTTATAAAAGCATAATCAGTCACTGAATGTCAAAAGAAAATAAACTTGATGAATGAACAAGTCTATGTAATTGAACATGGTGCCAATGATTCTCCCAACCCAAGATCAGCTCCCATTCACGAGTTTGCAAATTCGAATTCTATTAAGCAAAATGAGAAAAACAAAGCCCTAAAATTATCACCACCTTTCTGTTTAATTAACCCAAACATGGTGACAAACGCAGCATCAAATTCCCAAAACTAGTGATTTCTCTTCCCTAATGCAACTCCCTCCAACTCACAACTTGTTGCATTCTTTTGTCACATGCTTTGAAGAATATATCAGTGGACTGCTCATCTCTTCCTCGGATTGTGTTAACTCATTTATCAACCCATTTCTCATGCGTTAATTCACCATGCAGCACAGCATTCTTCATATATAATTGTAATAAAGCAACCATGAAAGCTGGCTCTGCTAAATCTACCTCTCCACACAACGCCAACATGCATTTCCAGTGTGCTTTGAAAATAGAAAGTATGCGGGTTTATAGTATTAAGTGTGCGGGGGAATGGATTGGGAAACAGGCAAAACTGACGAAGGTGCAAAGCACAATACCACCAGATAAATTTCTCAAGAGCAACATTCCTCATTGGAGTTGCAAAAAATACCTCAAGAGAGTGTGGGTTTCGCGACTTCTGCTATGGTCCTGCTCCACCGATGTTATGCAAAACCCTCTCTGAACGCGAGGAAGATACAATGCACGACGTTTCCTGATGCTACAACCACCGGCAATCAAAGAAAAAGCGATTAGTGGGCTCGATTGTGTGGAATGAATCGAGACCAAACCTCAATGTTGGGCTCCGGTAGGTGTTCCTCGTACCTGCAGCGAACCATCAGGACAGAGCACTAATCACAAGGTCAGCATCGAACAGAACCGAAACGAACCGAATCGTAGAATGTGGTGGGTTTTTGAGTGTGTACTGTTTTAGGAACCATAGACCGATCTGGTTGAACTTAGAGACACATCTCGTTAAACAAAAAACTCGGAACGATCCAGTAAAGATCTCCACTATATCCGCACAATTTACGTACCCAGCATCCTTAATGTCGTGGTGGGTGTAATCATCGTCAGCTACGGCTAGCTTGCACATCAGGTCGGGGGCCACATGCTTTGATTCAAGAGCAGCGGAGACTTGCAGTGACATATTGAGCAACTTCCGAGTACATGATCTGATAAGAAGACTTGAGGAGCTTTGGGGAAGGAAGGATGAAATTAGGGCAAACAGTAGCTACTGTTTTGAAAATAGACTTGTCGTCAGCAGTAAGCTTTGCACAACCCCCGAGGAAGGCAAAGGAGGGGGTGAACAGCGAAAAGTCGCACGCACGCACACACGCACATCCCCGACATGAAACTGTCTATAGAAGCAAGATATGGATGCAAGATATAGTATTCACTTATATGGCGATGACCGTGATGACCATGATTTTGAATTCGTCACCACGGCAGTGGATCAATTGACGGGGGTCTAGATCCGCAGCATGTGACCGTGGGGGGGGGGGGACTGCTGGCACCGGCCTGTGAAAGCGGTACAACTTGCCCCAGTCTACGATTTCGTGTTCTGACTTGGCAGAGATGACCATTGTGCAGCTTTAGCCGGCCATGCGCCACGTCTTAAATGGGCCCACGAGGGGGTGACGCATGTATGCTTTCGTTGTTCCAACAAAGCCTCTTAGACTTTATGTGGCCAGCCTAGACCCACCCTACTTCCTCCGATGTTTGTTCATAGCGCATTGGTTTTCACACTTTTCGGGGTTTTTGTCATACACTTGTCTTTCTCTCGCTTGCCGGCCAGGTTCGGGTGTCCCAGCCTTTTCATACTTCACCATTTCATACTTCAAGATTACTGGCAGTATATGCTTGGGATCCCTAGCTTGGTTGTCTAGGATCGGTGTGGGTCATGCAATCGGGGTTTGTTCGAGGGGTTCGGTCTGGAGTGGAGTGTTTCCTTTGCTGTCGAGTTGTGCTTCTTCTGCGTGGATTGGAGGTGGAAGAATTTGAGACCGTTGGAACGATGGTTCGGATGCGCTCGTGAGAGATCTGGTGAGTGTCTGAAGTAGGGGTAGTGAAGTTTGCCTCATCTATGCTGTGCTCGCTGTAGCTTGTGGGGTGGATGCGGAGTCAGGAGTGGTGATTTAGGACAGGGGACGCATGCGTGGGATTGTGGTTCTACTTGGCGAATTTAAAAGCATTTTTCGCAAATTTCGTTACAACCTCAAGTTTTCCTTACAAGTGAACATGAAGGTTATTGAGGATTAATCATTTCTTTTCAATGGCGAGAAGATTATGCTCTTTTTCTTTGAGTCGTGTGAACTGCGCATTTTTCAGCTCTAAGTGTTTCCCCTGCGAGTCATTAAGATTTCCAACAACGTCTGATTATCTACATCCTTGCTCACTTGATAGATACTCATCAAGAGTCACATGCAATCACAACCTTAGAATCAACTACTTCACATGACTGGGTCAATGTTATCTAATTGCTTCCCAGAGGCTTGCCGTATCAAATGGGTATATTGCAGTCACGAGCTAGCAATTATAAGCTGTGCATATTGTTTGAATGCTACCCATTTTGATCCATTGATTGAATACCCCAGTTCTCTTCAATGCTCTTACGGTATTCTCTTTAGAATGTTTTGTGGTCTGTTTGTGCCCTTGATAATCTCTGTTACATCAGAGGATGGAGCTTGTATCGATACCTATTAACAATTTTTGCGTCAAATTCTGGGCAGGGAGGGTGCAAATTAGGGTTAACGTCCTGAGACACTGTTATTATTATGCGAGCGTCTACCTGTGCTGTCAAGAGTGAAATAGTTATATTTAACCATTAATTTCAAATTAGACCTTAATGAAATGAGGATCTGGGAAGCGGTGTATTGACATCATGCCTATGTCTTGTTTCAGTTCTTAATCAGATACAGATGATGCCTACATTGGGAGACGGATAGCAGATTTCAGCTGGCAAATAATCTCCCTGCAGTACACAACCAGCTAAACTAGAGAAAGGAACGGTTCAAAATGAGTTGCAGGGGTTTTCTGCAATGCATGCTCAAGTTCACGAATTTCTTGTTCGCCTTAGTGGAGGGTTTATTGTCATATATTCTCTGTGGATGCTTAAAGAATTTTCATGACGATTTTCCACGCCCCCCATCCATCTCCTCCGTCTATTTCTCCCCTCACTTCCTCCAAGGTTCCACCAGTAATACCCCCCTTCACATCCCTTCCAGGTCCAGTAGACCACCTCTTAGGTCCCTTCAGAAGCACCATCAGTTCCACCTCTGCTTCCGCCGACACTTGCTCCAATTCCTGCCCCAACTCGTACACCAACGCCTGCTCCAACTCTGCCCCCAACGCCTGCTCCACTCCTGCCCAACGCCTGCTCCCACTCCTGCCCCAACGCCTGCTCCAACTCCTGCACCATCACCTACACCAACACCTGCTCCAACTCCTACCCCAACACCTTCTCCAACCCCTGCACCGTCTCCAGCTCCTACTCCTCCATCACCAGCTCCAACCCCTGGTGTGTCACCTCCCTCACCTCCTGCTCCACCTCAACCAGAGCCTGAACCTAAACCCAAGCCAGAGCCGGAGCCATCACCAGCTCCAACCCCCAGTGTGTCACCTCCTTCACCTCCTTCTCCACCTCAACCAGAGCCTGAACCAAAACCCGAGCCAGAGCCGGAGCCATCTCCGGAGTCATCACCGGCTCCAACCCCCGATATGTCACCTCCCTCACCTCCTGCTCCACCTCAACCAGAGCCTGAACCAAAACCCGAGCCCGAGCCATCAATCTCACCGGATGTTGCACCCAACTCCGAGCAAGATGTTGAACTTAGCGTTCAAGAGTTCAGCAACTATGAAGCTATTCAGAGATTCGAATTGCTCTCGAAGCAAACCAAGAGGCCATTTCTAGCTGTGAAGAAAGGCAAGGTCAAGTCGCCTAAATTGCCAACCCCTTGGTGAGTTCAATCAATCTCCGAAGTTATGTCGTTCATAAGGGATAAGAAATAACAGAACATTCCTCTTCTCGTTGTACGTCGTGGGTAGGAACGCGATGATTGTGGAAAATTGCTCAGAAATAACCCTTGCAAGAGTTTTACTCATTTGATTGTCTTTCTATTGCGATGCTCCAATGTAGATTTCTAAGTTGTATCAATGTTGCGTTTAGGTTCATTTATGCGTTCCTGGGCGTTGGAATCGTGACACTCTTGATAACCTGCACAGGCCATATAGCTGCTGAGACGAGCCACAACTTTTGTCTCTCATGTGTATCCATCTCTACTAATGTGATTTCTATGAATGTCATGTACTAATAGTTGAATATGCTATTTCTGTTCTGCTTTGACGTTTTTGGTTTGCATACTGCTCTCACTGCATATTACGTTAAGTAAATTTTGCACCTTAACTCCTTTCCAGTATTTATGCTTGCAAATTCTATTAATTGTAGCACAACTCATCCTCGCTGGCTATCTGTTTTTTGACAAGCATTGGCGTCAGGTACTTTCAAACATTTAACGTTCTGCAGATATTCCTCGTCGTTGTATTTTGTAATTACCATTTTCCATTATGGTAGGACGCATGACAGCTGCCACCCGACACACACTGAAGTAGGGAATTATGTTCTTTTACATGCAGGACCTTCCCGATGATCCCACCGGGCAGTTGGATAAAGTGGAGGATTTCGTCGGAAAAAATTTGACTATTTGCAAGTGGGTTGCATTGGGAGTGCTAATTATTGAGGTTAGTGGATCTTGCCGTTACATCTTACATATGTTTGTCGTTCGTACTGTCTTGTTTCAGTGGTGACATCCATGGAATGGTCCGCAGGCATTGGGTCTATTTTTCGCTATGACTTTACGAGCCATATCTGCTGATGCGCGTCGACCGGGATATGATAGTGACGACGAGCTTGCTCCCACAAGGCAGCCCTTATTGAACACTCGCCCGAACAATCAACCAGCTCCCCCTGGGGCTCCTGCTCAGAATCCTCCTTCACGCCCTACTGTCCGTAACGATGCTTGGAGTGCGAGAATGCGAGAAAAGGTTAGATATTTCATGTGAAGTTTATGTGTCAAGTAAATTTTCTTCCTCAGGCTGAGGCCCTGTGCACGGACTTCACAATTTTTAGATTAAATAAAGAAACCTCATGGTTGTGACCACTAGAATAAAACTCGAAGATACCAAACTTCGCCACTGGTTGTAATATGCAGTGATTTAGAGTTGTGGACAGAGTCGCTCTTTTAAACCAGGCTGGTAAGAGTAGATATTGGAATGTTAGAATTGAGTCCGACTAAAGTTACGTAGCTTGCCTTCAGCCGCCAGGCATCTCTAAGGTCGTGTGCAATACCTACCAGATCGAGGGCATTACTGCGGGGCAGGATTCTGTAACTCTACGTGAGAAACTCATGTTCGCAGTGGGCTAACATTGTGGACTTTCTGTTCCTTGTGCGCATTGTGCAGTATGGATTAGACACAACAGAATTTACGTACAACCCAGAAGATCCGCAGTCCCGTAGAGTTCCTCAGTCGAACCAAGCATCAACTAGTGCAGAGGACAAACCCAACCGCTGCATAGTTATGTAAAGATCTTTCGAAGTGATGGAAGTTGCTCGTTTGTGGCCTTGCAATCAAGCAGGTATGTGCTTGAGCTTACAACCATAGCTGTGGATGTGAGGGGGAAGATGAGGGTCATGTACTTTGAAGAATTTGTAGGACTTTGATGAGTGATTCTTTTCTCTCTCAATCTCACTTCGAGAGGCATGGATGCTCTTTTTGATGAAAAAACATCCTCGGCCCATGAGGAGCAAAATGGGTGAGGACAGTATATGTAGCAAGGGCGTGCCCATCTGTTTGTCAGAGGCTTTGTATAGACAGCTATGTCTTTGTAAACCATGGCTTGAAACTGTGTCCAGCTGTGGTTTAGCTATTGTGAAGCGTGGATCACTCGTGAGGACTGTGACGTAATGTGTGAGTGATTTGAAGCTAAGGGGGTTCAAGTGGGTTGAGTGATTTTCTTTGAATTCTGTATCCATTCGAGTAAATAAGTTAACTTTTTTACATTGTTGTTTGTTCAACATAGATAAGGTCTTGGTTTCAATCATTCAAAACATTTATCATAGGATAACAATGTTTCTGTATTGCATAAATTTGTTGCATGTACATTGATTATAGGGATTCATTTATTTATTCATTTTGTTTATAATTTCGATTGTTTAAGATGGATAACAACTTAAAGTTTTATCATGAACATCGTCAATGGTGGAATCTTAAAGTACCTCTTTAGTATTGTTTTCATCCAAAGAAACAATTGTTAATCTCGAAGAATATTTTGAAATTCTTGCGAGCAAAAACATTTAAAGCATACTCATAAAATTTACAAATTTTAAATATTACAAGAGGTGAATAATAATGTTTGTACGGCCTCATTGTTTGGTTAATCTCCTGAAGCGAAATTATCCAAATCTATGTCGTAATGTTTGTTTGCAATTTTTCAGGATTTCTTTATATTTTGGTAAAGTTCTTATTCTATAACCATTATAGCTAAATAAGGTTCTTGTAACTGTCATGTCTGTGTGAAATTGTATCATGTAAACTATATTCTTGGACATGGAAAGCGTGTTTGCCGTATCCTAAAACTACCTGTTTACATCTTAAAGTGTCTGTTAGAAAATTCAAGAAATTTTTGTATTTTACTCCTTTTTACGGATCGTTAAATCAGTAATTTGAGTAGAGAAACCTGAGTACTTTCGGTTAATTGTTATAAGATCCCTTACAAATTTTAAAGAAAATCTGCTGTTGATTCTCTGGCTAAATTTGATCTCCAAAGAGAAGCGCCTCATTAATTTTACGAAAATTCAAAGATACCCTACCATGTCTCGATGTACTATGCGAAATTTGAGCTGCTTGCTGAAATCCTCATCTCCCTCATTTCTGGTTAGAATTCCTAATTAGCCAGGCTGTTGATCAGCACTTCGAGATTTTTGTATTCTGCTGCCGTTTTTGATTTTTGATTTTGGTTTTGATTTTGCAGCAGCGACGCAGTGACAAACCTTCATTGTAACAGTGTGCTACAACTCGTCATCTACTTCGCTCGAATCCCGTCTCCGTTTCGTAATAGCCATTAGAATATTCATCTTACTCACACTGCATCCGTACAATGTTCCAAACAAAATACGGTTTTGTGAGTACTCCGTGTAAATGAAGTAATATTTGATTCATTTACTCATTTTGCACTGGTGAACTAAATGACTATCACTGCAGAGTCTCCTCACAGTTCAACCCAACCAGTCTCACAACTAATTAATCGGAACTCAGACTGTTGAACAGGAAAGAGCCGGACAAGATAAGGCAAAATCAGAAACCCCAATATGTGACAGGGAAGACTCCTCTAATTAACATCGTAATTTAACAGGGTTGTACGTGTGACGGATTATGCAGTGGGTGGTATTTCCAAATATTTTCTATACCAAGAAAATGACCTAAAACCTTCGAACTTGTCAGTTCTTGTCTGGGTTTGTCCATTCTTTGCTATCAGGATTCACACTTCCTGCTGTTACTAATCCAACCAGGGAAGAACTGAGATTTCGTACATGAAGCCTAGTCGCGCTTGAGGGCCATTGTTTCCCTTCTGATCCCTTCCTTGTTAATGATCACAATCTCCACACCATCACCCTGTATCATATTTAATGATTTTTGTAAATATATAATTTAGAAAAAAATAACCAGAATCATTCACCTAAACATCATTAGAGTGCACAATTGACACGCCTCTAGTCTTGATTACCAAATGAGATTGATAAAGAAACTAAGAGGTTTAGAAATTACAGTATAAATGTCACGCTCAGCAGCAGAGGCAAAAGTGTCCTTGATCAGATCCACGGCCTCGCTCTCAGTAAGGGGAGTCGATGACTCCTAAAACCATAAGAACAATGTGAACAAGAAGACAATAAGATCATTATAATGTGATACCTTAAATATTAAAATTTAATGAAACGCATGTAGGATTACACTAAAAAATGATGTAATACAGATATCGACCATGAAAGTCTTGAATGGGTGGGTAAAAGCAGCCACATGTTGCACAGAAAAGTTCCCGCAAATAGAGAAGCAATGTGACACTTACAACTTGCACCTATTCCTTTTAAATTACTTAGTAAAGTACTGCTCTGCTACAATATCGAAAGATGCATGTGCCGTAACTGCTTAAGAATATTATGAGAGAAAACACCAGAGGTATTCACACTTACTCTTGGTGGCAGGACAAGAGGGCTAGCAGACTTCAGCTGATTGTCCAGGACGGGCATGATAAGTGTCTGACCAGAACCTTGAGAACTATATCCCGAACGCTCGTAAGAACCAACAGCGTCATATGTGTAGACGCAACCTTTACCTGATTGATCCAATAAAAATCAAGTAAAATGCAATACAAGAACAATATTCACATTCCCACTTCGTCCCGGACGCAATTGCGGGTAATGTAGGAGATATGGTCTTTTGACGGACTAGAATTTAAGATAAATTTAAACACCAAAAAATCATAACGAACGTCAATGCATGTTCGTGGTAACTTCTTACACCAAACACCAGTATTCAAGCATACAAATAGTAAGTTGAGCTCCCTAGATGTGTAATGCTATTAGCATGGTCCGTAATTGGTAGAAAAATGATTCCACACAGGTATCCACTGCTCTTACTATGTTATCGCTCAAAAAATACCAAGAGATGTAATACTGTTACTTTTATTCCCAAGTCAATACATCCAGTGAGAAAGAACTGAACACCTTCATTGTCCAAGCCACCAAGCACGTTGAATGAATAGTACGGAAAAAATCGCTTGTAATATAAAGTATTTGAAAGTAGCTGCGCCATTGCTGGACAGCTCATCTGCTTGCTATGCTGGTGCTGATAAATCTAAACACAAGGAGAACCAAATAATAAATAACTAAAATTTAAATTTAAACATAGATTCAGCTTCTTCAAGTCGCTTCTCACTTCAAAATTAGCCAATTTACAAACTCACAGTAACCTGGAGTATGTACCTGATGCCGAGCATCTAAATTTTTTTGGAGCGATCTGACATCTGCTTGAAATCCAGATGAAGCCAGAACGCATTTCTCCGTTCTGACCCATCCAAACGACAGAGATGTCAGTTTAGAGATGCACATAGAACCGTATTCCGAATTGGTACTTGATTATCACTCCTTCAACATTTTCAAGCTAATGAAGCTTTAATAAGTATGGCTAACACCTAACAGATTGACATTGAGCAACAGATGGGGGAGGACACACACACAAACTCACATATGATGAATTTTCGAATAATCCCGGGTTAAAATACTGAACCCAGTAGACATCCTCGTATCAGCTGCTATCACGCAGTAATCTGCTCCAGCTATAGCCACACATGTCCTGCATATCCGCCAACACAATAACATTCAAATACATATGCTTGATCGATAGGCTACGGAGCGCGAAGTAATATAACCGAGAAAAAATTGAAAGACCACAGGCATAATCAGTGTTTGCACACCGTCTTCAGCTTCCGAAGAGGTCTATTGCGAGCATGACAGAAAAGTTACCCTCCGTTGTTGTCGTAAGGGCTCCATGAAGCGCCTACATGCGAAGTGGGCGCACTTTCAGCTAGGCGGGGAGCGAAAACCATCGACATCTTCGCAAGTTTCCTGTTCTCAAGTAAAAACTCCCCGATCAAGAGAAAACCCTAGGCGGAATAACAAGCAACATACCATCGAATTAGATCCAATCCTAACCTATAGCAGTTTGGAATTTAGCACGTCAAAATAGCTGCATTTGACCCAGCAATGCCGAATTCATATTCACTTTGATCAAGGCTGTACAGGTCAAGAATACTAGGAGTCAAAAAAAGAATAATCGGAAGAAACTCTGCACATTCGCTCCCATATCCCAGTGAAAAAAGACCCGATTCTACAACCAATAACTGAAACGCTGAAAAACCAACAGTGAGAGTGCTCGAGAATTCACCAAGAGCGCATTCAAGAATTCACAGCACGCTCCCGAACGAACGCATTACCATAAAAATACTACAAGAAACGACCTATTCACCACTGCTCCCACGTCTCCAATTACAACGCCAACAAAAACCAACTCAAAATTGGTATCAAAACCATCAAGCCCAACCTTAAAACTACAGTTCCGCCAAAGAAGATACAAACCAGGCCGAAAAACTTCAGACCGTCGACGTATTCCACAACATCACAAAAGTTCGTAACAGCGATCCAAAAACTCAACAAATGTTAAATTACCCTACGAAAAATGTGGCAAAAAATGCACAAAGCAAGGGATCCAAAAGCAGATATATAAAGAGCCGAAAATTAGTGAAAAGAAGAGCAGGATTAGTACCACCACAGCGGAATCGGTGGTGCAAGGCAATGTTCAGCGGCACATAATCCGCACCAACAGCACAGAAGGCAACAAAACAACTAAAAACAATGCAAAAAAGAATGCGAAACATAACAAATACGAAACAAAGAGCCTTAGAAGAAGAACTAGGGATACTCCCGGGTACGTTGACGATCCCCGATATAAACCGAGACCGGGTATAAACCGAAGTGTTTCCAAGCTGATCTGGAGTGTGATAATTGCTGACGTGGAATGCCACATCATCGAATTACTGACTCTTCATGGATCGTCAATTGGTTGGGGGGATCCAGCTGGGAAAACGACGTTAGTAGGAGGGGACAGACGGAATGGAGGGGGGAAAGGTGCGTGGTAGCTTCTGGTCCAGCACTGCTTCGAGGTTTGTGTTGCTGGGTGACTTTGATCGAACATGTGTCATTGAAAGAGGGCCTTCAGATCCTCAATGCTTTTGTGTCGTCGTTGTTGTTGTTGTTGTTGTTGTTTTTTCTCTCTTTTTGCCCCATTATTCACCGGGTGGATCCCTTACGGATGGGCTTGTTCGCGTGGTCTTTACGCTCGGGACGAATAGTGTGATTCCGGGATCCATCTGCACGGCTGTGTGTTGTTGGACGGTTGTAGTGTTAGGGTTGATGAGGTGGAAGAGTTTGTGTTGTGATCTGTTTGTTTGTTTGTTTGTTTGTTCGTGAATTTGGTTGTTGTTGCGGGGAAGGGAAGGGTTTCAAGGAGGGGAAAGAAAACTGATTGTGAGAAGCGATGAAGATCACTGCGTTGTTGGTGCTGAAAGCGCCTGCGGTACAGGGGGGAGAGTCCTTGATGTTAGCCAATGCCTCGGATGTGTCGCATTTTGGGTTCTTCCAGCGCCAGGCCGCGAAGGAATTTATTCTGTTTGCATCGCGAACTATATCTGGAAGGACTCCTCTTGGACAGCGCCAGTCAATTGAACAGGATGGTGAATTCTCGTGCTTGTGTTTATTAACATATTTTCTCTGTTACGTTATTTGTTCCGTTATTGACTGATTTTCAAGTTGCACGGATTTCAGCATTTCTGGCTGTATATAGTTTTGAGTTGTATTGGTTATTATCTATTTTGTTGAGAAGACTGATTCCAAATGAGACTAGATTGTCACCTGCGGCCTTCTTCTCACGAACCTATTTACAGTGTGACACCCTTTTAAAATACATGGATCTTGCTTATCATTTTTCCTGGGTGGTTCTCTTGTTTGATCTTAGATTATGTGGTTGGGTGGCAACCTTAAAATTTTGGATGTCATTCATTCGGATGTTCTTATCGAGAGCTTGAAATTGGCGCCTTAAGCTGTTTATCCTTTTGCAGAGTATGTGGTGCACTGCTACAATCGAAGTGGGCTTTGCGGGCTAGTCTTTGCTGATAAAGAGTACCCCCTAAGGAGTGCTTTCTCTGTTATCAACAAGGTTTGTTCAGCTTGACTTGTAATTTTAGGTCACACTGAAGGGTCGGAAATCACTAAGTTAGGGTTATGTTTTATATCGTGTTGACTATGCATATTGAACTCGCAAATTGCGATTAACATAGAAACCAAACGCTGAATATTTTAATTGAGTGAAACTACAGTGTGGTTGTAACCTTTCGAGCTTGGTTTGACCTATAATAACTGAACTTTAGCTTTGATTGGCAGGTCTTAGATGAGTATCAGAGGACTTTTGGTGATTCATGGAAGATTAAGAACACGGACAGCACCGATGCATGGCCTTACTTACCAGAAGCTCTTGCAAAATACCAGGTTGGTTTTTAACCAGAATTTTGTTCGCCATGAAAACCTTAATTTGATGCATTGCTCACTTTTTTCTTCACTTCTGCTTCTTGGATCTTTTATGAACCTTGTTAATCTAGTTATTCAAATCTTTGGGATATATCAAATAGTAGACAGCAAGGCCTTTCCTCTTTGTCCTTGTTTCTCAAGCAATTGAATGTGGGGAATGCTACAGAATCCTACTGAGGCTGACAAATTGGCCAAGATTCAAAAAGACTTGGACGAGACAAAAGTCATACTGGTACGAAAATATTCCTTCCTGTCTCCTTCCACCATCTCACACCAAAAGCCCTCCAAACCCTCCTACCCCCCGGGAGAATACGTCCCAACCACAGACGTTGCCAGGACGCAGAAAATTGTTGTTAACATAATATCCAAGTGTCAATTTTTCACTGACGTGAATGATATTGTGCATTTAGATCATTCTTCATTCTCCTTTGTCTATCAGTTTTGGATAAGTCCAATGAGTCGTTCAGTTGTCTACGATCTTTTGTTCAGTTTGTAATTTACTCGATCTGATTATGAATGTGTACTTGCAGCATAAAACAATCGAAAGTGTGCTTAAACGTGGGGAGAATCTTGATAATCTCGTTGACAAGAGTAACGATTTAAGCTCCGCTTCTCAGGTACGTTTGCTCTGGCGTCATTTACTTTGTTGAAAGAATGGATCATTCTCGTGCTATATCAATTTGTAAATTGGAAGGTTTCATCCACTGTTAGCTTCGATCTTTCTAAAATCTGCACAAATAATGTGTCGAAAGATATCATTACTTTACTAGGTCTAAGTTGCTTTTACTGGGTTGCAGATGTTCTACAAGCAAGCCAAGAAGGCTAATCAGTGCTGCACCATTTTATAAGCACATTGGAACTTTGTCAAGAACACATTGAGTCTCTCAGTTCCTCACTAGGCTCTACATTTAGTTGCCCGCTCAGACCGGTAACTTGAAGTGTTGGTACTGAACCTAAACACATGCAAGAATTGACACTGCATATATTTGGTGTGGAGCGAGAGGTCCATTCCTGTGTTGTACATGGGGATGAAAGCTCGAGCGAATGTGGTAATGTTCTTGGTCACATCTATCCTTGCCACACTTTTTTCCTGTTGTGTAAGAGCTGCTACAGCTCAGTTGAAGTTATTCTGCAGCCATGAGACTAGTTTTTGATTGGTGATGTGCCGCTAATTCTATTGTCCCTATTACCAACTGTCAGGCTTAAGACTTGACAAATCATCCGTACGTAGGTACTTGGATTTGATGTAAACTGGTTCACATCTAGGGAGTGGTTTATATGCTCCATGGTCTTGTATAGTAAAATGACAATAATTTCCAGCATATTTGTGTTCGTTTCTGAAGCATTCCTCTTCGCTGCACGTTGTAAACATGTATTGACTCGCTTTAAAACGAGTTCATTACTTGAATTATTCCTTGTTCAATAAAGTAAATGTTGGGACATTGCTTTCGGTCAAAACACGAGAACTTGTTTTCCTCTTTGTAACGTCAAATTTTTAGTATTTTCAACTGATTTATCCACTGTTTATGAAGATAGACAGCGAAAGCAGACAAACTGCTACTGTTGGATTCCTCCTATCTTAAACAACTTTCACACAACTGATGTGTCCAGGCACCTCAAATGTACAACGAGTTGCGACACAGCAATCAACACGCATACTTAGACGTTTCTTCGTAGGATGGGAAGTACACTAGTGACGGACGTAAGGGAAGGTTTTGCGACCAGGTTTGTCTTGCGTACAAGTAATTACACAGATTATGAATTGTTGAATCTTATGTGTTAAAAAAGTCGCTTTTTTCTTTCGTTTTTTTTATTTTTATCACAAATGGAACTTACAATTGAACACATAAATAAAGATCCCTCACTTCAAGCCCTCCAGTAGCTTTTCCGTTTGTCGCTTGGTGATCACAGTCTGGATTACTGGACAGCAAGTTCCTCACACAAGGACTGTCGTACTCAAGAACCAGTGTACTCCTCGCTTGCAAAGCTTCTGTTTAGATGATCTCCGATCGGCCCCATTCGACTCATCTGAAGCGGACAGCTTTGTCTAGTGAAGTTCACTATGGCTTTTTGAAGTTTCACTCAGAGTGACGTGCAGCGACCTTTCCATAAGCTCTGGATCTAATCGAGGATCGCCTCCCATATTAAACTGGTTGAACAATGTCGATAATGAAGAGATTTGTTTCCTTCACATTGAGGAAGGTTCCAGGGAGCAGTACAGGGCTCCAAGGAAGGATTGAAAGTCTTTTCTTTTTTCGCCGTGCACGAATGCAGGTTTTGGGCGGCGCCGTTATTTGCAACAAATTTTCGTGGCTTCAAGGATCTGTGAACAGTCAACGATGAGTTCGGAGATAATTCTAACTTCAAAGTTGGATGTGGCAGGCCTCTTCTGTTACAGTACTCTCATGACACAATGGATGGAATTATCTCGTATATCCAGGCAAGTTTGTCAACCTAAGCCTTGTTGTAAAGAGGCTGTTAGAACTAAAAGGTGTCCAATGACTAAAAGAACAGCTTCAATACCCGCAGGTTCTTTGCATTTTAATGGCTGGACATGTATGGGCACTGTGACAGGCACTTCTTGATATTCAAGCAAGATCTTTATCTCGACTGTGGTACAGCAGCATCCTTTGTTTTCTATGATCTATTGTACCCATAATACCACAAAAGGAAAGGGCTAATGTTCTGAGATGTACACCTTGCCAAAATTGAGAGTCCTGTCCTATGCTTGAACAAAGTGCTGCAACATCAGATTTTGAAAGATGGTGACCCATGTCAATGGGAGCTCCCAAAGCTGCTATTATGGAACAGCTCTCTTAAGTGCAGTTGAAGTAGACAAGTCCTGTAACCAAGCCAAATTCCGAGATCCAAAGGGTGGATTCCTCCTCAGCTTTTGGGTCATTGCTGTTGTCTTCACAAAAGGGTGAAATCCAGAACATATCAAACAGTACGTTAAAGCAGCAAAACCAGCTCAACAATGGACTTTTGCGATCGATGTCCAAACAAAAGCTGCTTTGACAGAGCATATTGAAAACTTGTTCTTTGTTTGTTGCAGATGAACATGATCTTTGCATGATTATACACAAGGTGACATTTCGGTAAAAGGGCTTGTTTTTACTTATCGCCCTTTCATCTGTGGTCTATGTTAAAGTAGCAAACAAGGACATTTTTTTTTTTTTTTTTTTTTTTTTTTTTGGGGGTATGTATTTTAAATCTTCAATAGGGAGCAACTGTAACAGTACTATATTATTGCTCCATATTAATATTAGTTTTAAAAGTAACTAGATACAACTAATAAATAATGATAAGCAAAGAAATTTAATTTTGTTTTTGGTTTGAAGTGTATTCAACCATTGTTGAAGTAGTTAAAAATACTAAGATTATAGATGCTATTGAAAGGAAAATTTATTCTATATAGTATAATAAAATATATATGTATATTTTTAGAAGCTATTATCATATTAACATTACAAAGAATTTTACATAAGTCTATAATTTATACAAAAATAGAATTGACTAATATAAGAACTATTAATCCAAAGATATTATAGAGTAACTTATATCAAGAAGATATACAATTGATTATTTTAGAGTCTCTAAAGATTGTTGAATTAAATTAATTAAAAAATATGTAAAAAAATATAAAATATACAAATTAAATTAAAATTAAATAAGATTGAAACTAAAGTAGAAGTATGTTATTAAAAATAATGAATTTAAGGTTGATGACATCAATTCCTATGGCTTAATAAATGAGGCAATTGATTGGAATTAGTTGAACCATGACAAGTCTTTGTGAAATTTACAGATGCTTTCTTGCTTCAAATCCAAAATTCAATGAACAATATTTTAAGCACATTTGATATATTGTATGAGGTTTTTTGTTAAGAATTATTATTAATATTGCAAAGAATGTCCTTAGTACAATATTTTGTATCAAACAAGAGTCATTTTATTTAGAATAGAGACAAATTTGATAGCTAGTTAAGCTAGAGCACTACTTAAAGGTAAGTTTATTGTCCATGAAGTAATAGCAAGGCCATCAAGTAGCATAGAAGAAAGACCACTATAAGAGAAGACATTGTCATAACAAAAATCAGCTAGAGATAAGATGGTAGTTAGACATTCCAAATACTAGATATAGATCCAAACATTCTATAATTAAGAATATATATGTCCAACATGCATCTTCTTAAAGTGCACTATAAGATACAATAAGATATTGAACCACAACAAATGAACACAATACAAGTCTTAGGCACATTAAGATATTGGACAACAATCCACACTAAAATACAATCTGATTTCTTTTAGATATTACATTCTTTAGATGAATTAGAAGAAAAAGAATAGCATATCCTTGTACAAATCAAATGAGTGCATCTTGTATAATTCACCCACACTGTTATAATCTGAATATCTATATTGATAAAAGAAGAGTCGATCTTTATAAACTACAATGTTGACAAATCAAGAATTATAAGAGAAAAGAAGGATTTTTAGTTCTATGATACTTATGTATATTGCCTAACTAAACCAAAGAGAAGAATACTAAAACACAAAATTTTCTATGGTAGTTTAAATAGAAATAACTAATTACATAATCCATGTTGCAAACTCCATCTCTATCAAGAATCCATCATTAGACTACTTGTCAATTCTATAACAACTTTTGGTCTGCCTTTAGATCCAACAATCTTTTGAATAAAATACTTTCTACAACAATTGTTCTACTAGATTTTTTTACAAGTATAAAGAGCGCCTTTTGGAGCCTTTATTGAACCTTTGATCTTGAATCAAAAAACATTGATGATTGACCATGTGATACTTGCTTTGCTGAATGTATAGGATTTTGGTAGAAATTTAATTAGTATACATGAACAATATGAGGTTCAAGCTTATTTTTAAAAATTCCACCCTCAAATAGACGTTGTATTGGTCTATAATATAAGTTTTTTTTAGAGAAAGAGATAAAAGATACCAAACAAATGGAATACAAAAACATACTCTCACTATGATATGAGGTTGTTTACTAAATACATATAAATAGCTTCAAGGACGGGACTAGTATTATCTTTTTGATTAAATTTGTAAGTTTGATCTATGAGCATGGTATGATTATGAAAGAATATGTATAATTTGTTATACTATGATGGATCTTTATATTAAGTTGAGGATTATCAATATATATGTATTTAATAACATGGGCTCAAGGACATAGTTATGAAATAAGGTCTTAGAATATCTACCCTGTCAAGTACTTTAGATTCTAGAAAGAAATTTCAACATGATAGGGTAATTAGATAAGAAATAAGGCAGTCAACCTACCATTGCCTATAGACTACAAAAGATTATAGCTTGGAATGATCTCTTGATTTATTACGATCTTCAAGTTTGTTTTTAAATTGATAAATTCTAAAAATCATCTCTTAAGTAGTTTACATGGAATAATAGGTGCTTGGCATTGGAAATAATTTTTTTTAAGATCAATAGATTCTATATAAATCAATGTCACATTTATACATATTTATTCCAATAATTATTTAGATATTATGAATATATAGAAGTAGATAAAAATAGATTAATTTAATAATATCTTATAGAATTTTTTTTTAAAAGCTTTATAAATGTGATTTTAATTTTATACATTCTTGTATTACATAAAGACTTACTTAAAAATGTAGAAGATACCTAGCTGTGAAAGGTGGAAAGGAAATTACAACAACAAGATCTTAAAAATTTTAATAGAATCTTAAATACATTTTAATTAAATTTTAATAATAATAATCAATTTTTAATCAAATATAAAATAAATATTAAAGAAATTATAAAAGAAATATGAAGAAATCCTAAAGAATTTCTAAAAAAATTATAAAAAAATCATAAAAAAATCATAAATGGACCTTAATGAAATTCTAAAGAAATATTAGAAAAACCTTAAATAAATCTTAGATGAACTCTAACTAAATCCTACTTTAATCCTAACTAAATCCTACTTTAATCCTAACTAAATCCTAAATTTTAAATCAAATTCTAGACATATCTAAAATCCTAAATCAAACCTTGGAAAAATCCTAAGTTCTAAAAAAACTCTAAATCCTAAACCAAAATATAGATAAATTCTAAATCCTAAATCAAACCTTATCCAATTCAAATTAATCCTAAGATAGCTTAAAATTCTAATATCCATTGATTAAATTGTCAATCTTGTTTAAAAATTTATACATCTTTCAATCTCTTAGTTAAAAAAAAGTACAAAAAATTTGAAGATAATTGCACTTACCAAATGGAAGAAAAATCCTAAAATCCAATCAAGTATTGGCTAGCCAGGTTTTTGTAAAAAAGCAGTAATAGTAATCTTTAATTTTACTATCTTTTTGACTATTACCTAATTTCTAAGAAAATTTGTGATAATATTTTAAAATAAGTTCTTCTATAATATAATATTTTTTTCTTTC